TTAAATCTGATCAGATCATGTTAATAATAATATTACTATATGTGTATGATGACAAAAATATCTAACATATTTTTAAGTGTCTAATTTGTATACTATGTTAGAATAGAGGGTTTGGAGGGTTATGCTCTCTAATTAGGTTTAGTAAGTAAGTTAGATTTAGATTTTGTGTTAGGTTTAGGTTAAGTTAGGATAGAGAGTATATTATTGTATTTTTCTTGTTTTTCTAGGTTTAAGTAAGTATGTAATATAATTAATAAAACTACATAAATTTATAGTAGTACAGTAGTTTAGTAGTTAAGTAGTTAGATATTGTTATAATGTTTAGTATTTAATTTATGAGTTAGACACAAATTTTTCAATAATTATTAATAATATCCTTACTAATCTTATAAAGTGCCTTATAGAGTAATGAACCTATCTCATGTAGTTGACATGAGTATGATCAATCATATAAACTTTAGTGCTTGGACTATAGTGTAAATTACTTTAAAAGTCCTCTAAGTATATTGTTAATACTTAACATATTAATAAGGTCAAACTCTGGGCCTGAGACAAGAGAGACAAGCTTACTAAACTTGTTCAGTACAAAAGCTCCATCATTAGACTATACTACACATATTTAAACATGTAGAGACATGATTTGTGTTAAATAGATTTATATTAGAATGCTTAATTCTTAGGTTATTACTCAAGTAATAAGAGTATAAACTTATTATGTGTATTATAGTTAATAAATTGTTTACATTTATATTATTTGTCTGTCTGTATGTCTTAAATATCTAAATCATTATTATTCATTATTTAATACATAATGTGTATCTGATACATGTCTTATACTGTAATGTCCTGTATATAAGTGATGTTAGATAAAGTATTACACATTTTAAAGGTAACACAGTAGTAACAGGCCTACAATTACACATTACATGTTACTTAAATAGTAACAGTACTGGTAGCCTTAAAAATATAAACTAGAATTACTTTGGAAATAAAACCAAGCCACCTTCATGTGCTAGTGACAGAACCACTGTTACCTGTTACTGTCTCTATCATACAGGACACTACAGTATTGTATATTCAATACATGTCTTCTTATTCTACATTTGTTCTGTTTGCTCTGTCTGTATTAATAGTATTATTTACTATTATTATATTGTCTGTAATTGTATTATTGTTTATAATATATGTTAACAATTTATGTACTAGTAAGACAAGGCAAAGAAACAAATGAGAGACATACTTAGACAATAACAACAAATAGAGCTTTATACAAGCTGAAATCCATACTAATTGTTTATATTGTTAGTAATAAACTTGTAAACATATTAAGAAAAATAATCAAGAAAAACATATTTACTTATTAGTAAAATTAAGACTAACTGTTTCTGATAGCTAATAATAGCTTTACTAAAAACTTATGTAGAAAAAAAAAGAGATTATTACACTTATAGAGTTTATACTAATAATCCATATTCTCTACCACTTTCTCTCACCTTTTGTCAAATAAGAGACTTTTACAAGTGTCTAGTAATAGTCTGTATAGTAAAATATATATTATATTATATATTTGACCTACATTAGTCTACAAATCAAGGAACACTATCTACTATACTTATATCTGATACACAGAGAGTTGCTAGACTGTTTAATCTAAGATAGTATACAGACTAAAGTATTATAGTAGTACAGTCTATCTTGATTGATTCAAGATCCTCTGACTGTCAGCTTGCTTGTTTACAGAATCAAGAAGCTTTCCAGCTTTCTGAACAAAAAATATTAGTCTAAGGACACTTATCTCAGAGTAACTCTGCTCATATCTAGGTACATGTTTAGCACAATTGTACATAGAGACTCTTAATGTTGACAGACTAAGTCAATATGTTCAAGCCTAGAGAGTAGATATAATAAAATACACCCAATGTATGTTGGACATAATATACAGCTGACAGAGTATCCAATGAGGGGGATGCACAGAAGAGGAGAAGGGAGGGAACAATGTCAAGAGAGAGCTTAGAATGTATAGCTGATTTGCAGAGATGGCTGACAGGACGATTGGGCAATACTACATGTGTTGCAATATTTACCTCATCTGTACACAAATCCTGACGTATTCTCACTTCTGTATACAGATACAGTCTGTAAAGTACGGCACTGTATTTTGCAGCCAAAGTTCTTTACGGATTCGGTCCATAAAATACAGCACTGTATTTGCAGCCCAAAGTCCTTTACGGATACAGTACGGTGCCGAGCCCTAGCTGTATAATCAGTGTAGATCTGTTGCGATAGTTACTGACAATACAATGATGTGATCAATGTCCTTGATGCAAACAAGATGAAAAGCAATGTAAATATAGCGCATCTGACTCTGTGTGTGTGATGTTTACTCCAACATCACCAAAACGTGCAGAGTCTGACAAGGCAATATATTTACATGTAGACTTTATAAGCGAATATAAGGATCCACAATATGTAAAAAATATATGTCTTAGCAGTAAATTCCAATACATTTTCCTGTTTGATTTGGTGATGAAATTCCGGTGGCGTCGCATCATCCTAAGATACGAACAGGTGATTGTGGTAACGATGTGGCATACTGCTGCATCGGGTAGTACGAGGTGTACTTTGCACTGTTATAGTGAAAAGTACAATATTAAGCAAATATAGAGGAAACCAGCAGTCCAATTACCAACCAGTCGCAATCAAGCACGAGAAGCAAGTCAGTACAACTTCATGTCAACGAACGCAGATCAGACCAGAGCAAATACTGAAGATGAAATAACATCGAGTCATTATACCTGGGAAGAGTGTAAACCACTTAGTGATTTTTCAGGGTATGGAGTAATTCTTGTAAGCTTCTCATAGCCTCTGAAGTATGGTAACAAAGCTGACATGTAGCTCTGATATTAAAAGACGGGTACAATACGCGATACATTGTCTGGGAGAGACCTTCAAGATAAGGCATTTGAATTCATCCCCAAAGTAAGTGGGCAAAATCAAGAGATAATTAGGAAACTGCAGGAAATAAGAGAGCACTTGCACAAAAAATCACGTGCCGATAAGATCAGTATACAGCATATTGTGAGCACTACTAACGACAATCCAAGTAATACAGTTTATATTAATATCTATCCAAAATCTCAAAAGTTACTCTTCGATGATGATTTTAGCTCTGAGAACAGCTTTGGTTTCGAAGTTGCTGGTTCACTTCTTGACATCCTAGGGGCCAAACAACATGTTCTAGTCTTTGATTTTGCTAAAGGTGGAAATCTCATTGACTGGGCAAAGAGCAACTCACCTTCAGAAAATGAGGTGGCTCTTGTTGGAAAGTTAGTAAATGTACTAGCCTCTCGTTATTTACGTAACTAATGAGTGTATGGGTGTAGAAATCTTCTCGAAGGGATCAGGCAGTTACATAAAGCAAAGATCATGCATACACAGCTCCAGTAAACGCATTGTACCATTATTTTCAGACAATACATATTCTAACCTAATGTCATTAGTCCAAAAAGGATCTTGTTCATGGAAGAAGCTAATACATACCAGCCGCCCGATACTGCGAAGGATCTTAAAATTTCTAACATGAGAAAGTGAGTTGCTATTGCTCGAAACTTCTCGTCTACTGTCTTTCTTATTGATTGTCTGCAAAGTGCGGCTTGGATTCGAAAAGGCAAAGGGAATGAGCATTATGACGAGTTGGACTTAGATCCTAAGAAAAACAAGAATTATGCTAGAATTTTGGAACATAAGGACTACCTTCCCCCTGAAATGACCGGACTCGCAAGTCATGGAGAAGGGTGCAAACTGACTACTGCAGTGGATATTTTCTCTGCTGGGTAAGCATGCAATTAGTCTATACGAGACAATGCTTGCTAAGCAATTTTAACGTTGCATGAACGTTGTAGTATGATAATTGTCGAAATGCTTGGTGTGCGCCCACTCAATCATCGACGGACTAATGGCGGAGTGAGGCCACTCACGGACCACGATGTATGCGATCTGGCGGGGTGCTGTACAAGTTGTCGAGAGAATTGGAAAAAGATATCCAAAAAAGGTTAGATAATTGAAATACAATCTATTGCTTCACTACTCATGCATTCAGCAGGTAGGGAGGTTATAAAAGAGCTTACTAATGCAAATTATAAGGAACGCCCATCTGCTAAGGAAGCTGTTACGCTTGTAGCTGAGGTGTGTAATAATGATTTTGAGTGAATCCCCACATTCTTGAGCAGTTGTCATTCCAGTGGACCAATCAACTCAAGAAAGATGAACTTCAGCGGCAGCAAGACGAAAGGAGGAGACAGCAGCAAGAAGAGCTCAAACGCCAATATAAAGCTCAGCGTTCCAAGAAGGGATCAGAGGATGGATCGAAAGGAGGGAAAGTACATCGTAAGCTTACGATTAGGTACGGTTCCGGATCCGGATCATCAAAAAAGTGAGGAGAATAGAAAGAAGGACCTATTTTATAGGAAAGAACAATATTGATATTTATAAGAATTTAGAAGGTAATGGCCCATGGGTAATGATTGCATACAAGACAATAGACAAATTTCTTCATTGCTCATATGCTCGTTAAACTACAATTGAAATAAACGATAGACAATAGAAAGTAAATTAGTCACATTTGAGGCCTGAGGGTGGACATTAAGGAACCATGAGTTATGAGGGTTTATATTGTCAACCGGAATTGTACAACCGAGAATGGTTGGGGATAGAAGTAGAATGAACTTGATTGACACGAAGAATAGCTCCGGACGTGAATTCACGGTACTAACGCATGCTGCTGCACTGCAGGCATACAGACAAGTCTATTAAATACTACCAATACAAGAGTGTATGCATATGTACATCCCATCCAATCATAGATAGGTATGTAGCAATAGCAACTGACAATACTATTACTGTGATCAATGTCCTTGTCATAAAAAAGAAGAGAAACAATGCAGACAAGCACTTCGAGTCAAATTGCAAATAATCAAGTTACAACCAACTCGCGGTACGCATCAAGCAGCAGCAGCAGCACGTTCGATGGCAACGCACCAGAAGACTTTCGTCTCTGCGACACTTTGGCCTGGTTCTGGTCGTGGGTCGTGCACAACAGGCAAAGTGGACAGGTTGGCCGTCCCAATACCTTGCGAGATCGAAACTCAGCCCTCTTGGAAGGCGCAGTGACAGTGTCGGGAATGTGATGGAACCGTAGCAGAAGTCTATTGTAGGCACGTCCTACACAAATAAATATTTACTCAAAATTCTCAGTCGGCCTTGATCTCAAGACCAGAATCGAATAAGGCATTCGTGTCTTCGTCGGGTTACACAAACACACTTTTTTGGAGCACTTGCTGCTTATACTGAAGAGAGATTGTCTGCTGAGGAAGAGGGGAATGATGACGGGGAAAGAGATGGAGAGCTTGAAGGAGGTGTGTTTAGGCTTGAACCGTCATCCGCAATACTGTATTTAGGAGGGAACAACTGTGGGCCACGTCCTCGTGCCAGAGACGTGTGTGTCAAGTAAGGCATAGTTGACACTAGTGGAGACAATGCCCATGGCTGTGGACCATCAAGAGCGTGTTCCAAGGTAGGATCAAATAAGCTTAAAAAAAGAGACTCCCTTAGACTATCAAAGAAGAAAAAATGAACGAACTGCATGCATTGAAAGGCAGCTTTGAAAAGCCAGAACAACTTCAAAGGTCGGTCAAACGTATTTCCAAAAAGAATATCGTCGGCTGTAAACGGTAACATACAAACTGTACGTTGTAATAGACATTGCCTTCCTCGTCCGGAAAGCCCTGACGTGAACCACGACAAGACCCTCAAATATGTCAGAGGTAATTGCATGAGCTCTATTGGTATTTACACAGATCAGTCTCAAAGCATTCGGCGAAGGGCCAGCAAGGACGCGAAGACGGGGCATGGTTACAAAGTAAGGGCGTCGTCAAGTTTGATTTCCAAGAGAAAGCAAGCAGAATGGTGTGGTGAAGTAGTGAGAGAGAACGTGAGGCCTAGTATGGGTTAGATATGTCAACAGATTAGGCTTGCTACTGCTGTGGGTCGGAGAAGGAGTGAACGAAGGCAGTTGCAGTGACCAGTCACATTGCAGTGGCGGAAGATGCGCGTAAGGCAGCGCGCTGATTGCCCAAATCGGGACAGATTCGGAGGTACACTGTCACACAACAACATCACGAAAAAGTCTTACAGTAAGATGCGAATATAGGTGCAACAATCTAAAACCACGCGGTACCTGTACAACTCACCTATCGCGGACAAAGTGCCAGGTAAACAGATGAGCACTACACGCGACATTTCGGTTTGACTTCTTCTTGGACAGTGCATGCCACATGGAGCTGACTCAGCTGAGCAGGAAGGTGCCATTCAAGTTCTGATCTTTAGATGCAGTCTTCTACTTGGACCTTGTCGACCAGTCTGCAGCGGGCCTAGAACTTCTGGCAACGACTCGCAGCGGCACTTTTCTTTCTCAGAGTTGCATACAGAGCTTCTTTCCTCATGTTCTTCGAGACCGTGCTTTCAGAGGAAGCAAGCCAAAAGACGTCGGACCGTTGCACGTTACATAAACAGCTACTGATGTGGACGCTGTCATCAATATAAATCAAATGAATTTCAGATTCGACATAGACAGACGTCAAGTTCAAATTGTTGTATTACTTGTTCTGCGGTTCATGTGCACCGGATTTTCTTTCTACATACACATAGGTCTCGACTTTCTCTCAGACGGAGAACTTGGTCTTGAGCGCGGTGATAGATGGCGAGAAAAAGTACGCTCCCCCCTTCGACACGACGAATTCTATGGGAAGCTTTGTATCCTGAGCCGGGTGGTCAATCTGAAGACCCGCCATTTGACGATCGTTGCCATTGTTCTGACCGACTGAATGGGGTATTATTTAAGATTCTCGATGAAGGTAAATAGGAATTGACGCACTGATAGGGTCGAAACCTGGGACAAGAGGGAGAATCCCATTAAGCTTCAGGGGTGGGAACAGCACGTCATTGGCCCATGCTGCAAGGATGGTCGATTTAGCCACCCCTGTCGAATGAGGTCTGACAAAATATCAAAGACGTACTCTTTTGGACAAACTCGAAACCATTGTCAATGTTACTTTGATAGCAAACGAAGGCAAGGCCACGATCATTTACTGTCGTGAATTTCTCGGCATCTGGGTCTACTTCTGGTCCATAGGGAACGCTCTGACGGCTTATCATGTGTGACTCCACGAATGCTTCTCCGAAAGCCGGAACACTAAACAATAGTATTGAATACCAATTGGTGAGCTCAAGCTGTTCATCGGCAATAAATAGCACACACCTTGTTAAATCCTTCCTCGGGTTTGACTTGCGAACGTGTGCTGCAAAGGGACACCTAGTCTGGTCATTTAAGTTGACTTCTGAGAAGTTGAAGTTGTTGTTCTTTTGCGGATCGTCCGCAAGAGCGGGATCATCTGCGAACGGAGAGAGGGCAGTCGGCGCCCCGCTCTTCCAGCGTCCAAACATTCTTGCTCCCGCTAGTTCCACTTGGTTTTCAGCTGCTACCTGCGAATCGGCAACTGGGTTGTTCTCGACGAACGTGTTAAATTCCGGAACAAATTGCTGTAGATGGCGATATCTTTTTACGAGTTATAATGAGATACAACCAAGAGATTGAGGAAATTACTTACACTAGGAAGGATCCGTTCTTCGCCCAGTCGGGACGAAACAGTACACCATCACCATTTGTTTTGCATACAATTACACCTGGATCCACCTGAGTCTGACCTGGAAAAGGATCGACAAAGCCTCTAATTGCAGGGAAAGAAATGCCATCACGGAATCCCTTCGTGTCAGATGGAGAATAAGAAAACCAGTACGAGGAATAGTTCATAAAGACTGACAAAGTGCTCATGGCCTTTCTCCTTCCCGGGGCGCACACGACCCTCAACCTTGAGCATTTCCGTGAAGGAACCGCTGAAAGTATTATTGACTTTGTTGATACCATCAAGGACAGTGGAGTCTGAGTCACCCGTAATCTGTTTCAAAGTAAACATGCTATAGCGTGCGATCAAATGAGAGGTATTGTTACTAATTCTTACCAAGAAGACACCATCGACCTCGTTCTTGAAAGGCAGAAGCCAGTCTGGATCAAAAGAGAGCAGGCTCTGCTTTCCGTTGTCGCCCAGAGGCTGGGCATGCGCCTTTTGCCCATCGTTGAACGGCCCATCCCTTAGATCGTCGGTAACTCCGAGCTTGAGGTAGAAGATGCAAATTAAAAGAGGCTTGTTCTTCAGTTAGTAATAGTACGTACCTCCTTCATTCCACGACGTGATAGAGCAAAATTCATGCATTGGATCTGCAACAGGTCCGGCGAACCCGTGAGTTTGTGGTCAGCGATCTCCTTCCGCAACTGCTGGACCTGGGTCGTTGTCGTGACGGCTGGTATAAACTGTTGGAGAGATTTCTTGAAATTGGCAACATTCGCAATATTGAAGAAAATGAAGGTTTCTGCGCGCTTTGGAAGTCCGAGACTGAATGGATATGAAGTAAATCAGTTTTCGTACACGCTGTGGGGCATGACATGCGTACACAACATCACCTGCATCGAGTTATATCAGTAAGTGCTGTAGCCCTATCAAATGAATCTCACCCTGAAGGTCATCAAGATCCGCTGGTGTTGGCCAAGACATGTTGAATATCTGTTATTGAGGTAGAAGATTGTTTTCGAATAAGTTCCCAGTAAGTAAGGTGCGGACTTGGGGTGCCTGCAGTTAGTCACTGTAATGGCGTTGACTCGAACCTATTTATATGCTGACGGTGGACCAGCTGCGAGAGCATAGGACCACTCTATGAAACAGTCACGCACAGTACTTGCGCTAGATCTTGATGAGAAGACTTGTGGCTCCACACGTACCCAACACTATGCAATGTCAGACCAATCAATCTTTGGACATTTGACTACTCCTGTTCCGCTTTTAGACCTTCCGAGCGAGAAGAATAACGAGTTCTTCCACAGGGGAATCTTCAAGAATTCATGAGGAGGTCATCACCGATGCTTGCGGGTTAAATTACTGCTGTTTGCAAAATTGCTTAGAATGGCAGTGAAACGCATCGCTCCTTATAGTAATATGGTATTCGATGCATCTTTCCGAGTGACCATTGTATCTCATTTCAAGTAGTCAAATGCACATAGTCCACTTGTAAGACAATATGTTAGACATTAACGTCAGCTCAGGCGATTGTCACTTACTAAACGGAGCGGTCGAAGGTAGGCTCCGCAGACAGGAGTTCATGACGCTTCGCTTTGGCTTGTTCTTGAACAGTGCATGGGACTCAGCGGGAAGCTATATGCTTCCCAGATCATTTGCCAACATTCATCTGAAATTCATACATGTCATGGAAGGTCGGAAGGTCGGACCATTGATTAATACTGCCCGCCAAGTGCAGTTTCTAGCGACTTTGTTGTTAACATCCACAGCATGCTTTGCCGAAAGGTCAATTTGCAAATGAATAGTACGAAGGAAAGTGCACTTGATTCTGCATTGCACCTTCATACAGATACATAAGTGTAGATGATAAGCCCCAACAATAGAAAGAATATTGTACGTACTTGATGCTAGCCAACGCGTGTGGATAATAGAAACACATTTACATCATATATCAATCACTCGCAGTTGATGTCAATTGAATAGAGAAGTCGTCCTGATGGACAAGTCGTTTTATCAGCTCAATCAGGCATGTAGAAACACTTGATGTCAAAGTTTCTTTTCCAGTCAAGATTACTATGGTGAATTCTGCACGGTGTTGTCGAATGCAAAGGATCTGCATGAACGCGTGTGGGATCCATCGTGTTTCTTTAAAACTTCATTTGAGTCAGGAAGCAGATGTAATTACGAAACAACCAGCATTGGAGCTACCCGAATACCCAAAGTGTACTCGCGACGTCTGCGTCTGGTTGAGTGAGTGAACCAGGTTCCTGTTCTTCAGACAATCGAATAATCATTGGTCTTGAATGTTCGAGCTCATACTCTAAGACGGCTGGTTCCTTCTTTATTTTACGATTGACTTCGGTCTCGAAAAGCTATAAGCGAAGGGCGAGCGTCAAGTCATGGCAGTGGCAAATCGGTGCGATCATGACTCACAGTAGTGTACGTATGATCTAGAAAATCCTCCATTGAGAAGCCGGGCCGCGTGAATGCTTCTTCAAAAATATGCGCCAGGGTTGCTGCGGGTGCATGGTAGTGCTGCCTATGTGCGGCGACTTCCCAGAGGGATGAACCCAATGCATTCGTTAGCGTCGGGTTGGGTTCGTTCTCGTTGAATGAATCTTCTCCTTTTTCCTCGGTAGAGTCGATAGGACGATGAATCATACACATTAAAACTGGATGGCGCTTCAGGATGTTGTATATAAACGGGATGGCGATGATGACTCCTGCGGGCGGCGCACTTAACGAGAGACGAGCGAGACGTTTAACAAAGGAGGCAAGGAGGGTAGCTGGAAGATGTGAAGAGCTAAGGAAGAGCTCCGTTAGTCTGAAAAATCGGGCGCGATGTCGTGTGTGCAGGACGTTGCGATCCAGAAACACATATAAACGCGTATAGAAGGAAGGATAGTCTCTGTGGTATAACATTTTAGGTTGGACGGGTGGATAATTTATTGATAATAACCTTACAAGTTGTATTCTCGCATGAGGACGAAGAGCGCATTGAGCGCGAGTAGTCCAACATACCCGCCATGGTCGACACACGAGCCGACCCAGTCCATAATTAGGACAGGTCGTGTCAAATACGGGAGAACGCCTCGGTGCAGTACCACCAATACTCGGGCTACAAGAGCTAGGTCTTCCTGGTCGTCACCCGCTTTCGCAGACGACAAAAAGACTTCACCGCCACGCGACAGGAGGGGGAGAAGCGCAAGCCAGGCTCGCGTGAATACTGCACGATGCGCTGCGGGTGCATGGAGTTGCGCATGGATAGGTAGAGTGTATAGTCGCCTTCCTCCACTTGCGTAACTCTTCTTCCCTGTCTCTTGCTTTGGCTCCTCAAAAAATGCGCGCCAGTCATCAACATTCTGCTTCTCCCCTTCAACGTCCGATTCGGATTCCGAGTCTGACAAAGGCCCGGTCTTGCCTTTCTTACTGAGCTTGGGCTTGGTATTGAGCGCTTCAACCCAGAAGTGATTTTTGGTAAACTTAAAGCTCGTATCAGAAGAGGACGGAATTCCAGTGAGTTTCTCGAGAATGGTCAATGCATTAGCGGGAAGGTAGGGGTGAGAAGCGACAAGACCCTCGTTTTCTAATATAACGCTTCAGACGAACGTCATAAGTTAAGCAAAAGGGACAGTTCAATCGTAGACACGTACGCCGTCTCCCGTAGGAAGAACCATCGGATATCTGCGTAGACATTAAGCCACGTTTCGAGGAGCAAATCGCGAACGTCTGCATGTATCTCGTTACCCGCTTCGACTGAACTCTGCGAGCGCCTCGTCCGCTTAGGCATGGGTTCTCGTGCGGATGACGGACATAGGAGAAGAGCGCGAACTATTTTTTGAAAGAAAGGAACGTCGAATCGCAGCGTCGTTGTTGAAGAGGTAGATGAGCTGTCGGTTGGAATGATAGATGACATCTGACGGAGGAGTGAAAAGAGAATTCGCAACGCAGAAAGCTGCCGAAGTCATAGTTAGTGAAAGTCGAAGTTTGTGTGCCAACGTCAACGTACTCGAAGGGTCTTTTCTTCGTATTGTAGTAGCCCACAGAGCAAATCTGTGAAGGAGTCTAGCCGGGCAATAATCCAAGCGCGTACCGTTTTCCGTCCAGCGTCCTCGTCGTCTTGTGCTGAGAGAATACCCTTCTGCGAGATCAAAATGAACAATCGATATAGCGCGAACATCGCTTTGAGCGCAACATCAGAGTCTTCTGGAGATGCTGCAGTCTTTAGGAGGTCGGAGAGGGGGTTGAGTGAAGCATTGGAGGTAAGTGCAGCGGAAACAGCGTCCTCCAGATCCTTGATGGATTTTGCCGTCGAACCATCGTGCCTACTGCCATTCGCAGAGGATTTTCGTTTCCTTGCCTGCGTATTTGAGTTGAGCGAGGAGACCACCATGATGACGTTCCTGCCCACGGTGTCTGTACTCTGTAGTCCTAACTATGAGGCACCAGTAGTAGTAGAGCGAGGATAATACATAGTAAGACGTGAAAATGTAAAATAAATGGTCACGTGCCATACTAGTCGCACGTCACATGAAGCGGGATTAGAAGAGGAAGAGGTATGTCTCAGACGAGAATACATATATTTAGGTGTCCTTTATGGTTACTTGTCTCACAGCACTCTCGCGGACCCAAAGCAACAGCCGCTACTTTTCAATCACAAAGTTCACGCAATGGAGAATGTCCCTGATTGGGATCGCATCATCAATGCCGCATATACGTAGGTTGTCATAATGACAAGTTTCGAGTTTCACATTAATTCTCTCCGTCCGAAATTATTAGGATCGAGCTATGGCAAGCTCGAAATTGGAATCGTATGGTAGTTTGCGGGCCCACTGGACAACGGCCTGGTGCACAGCTCCAGGTCTTACCTCGTCCAGGATTTGCTGAGATGCCACCTAATATCTTTCCGAAGACGGTAGGCGGTATACTCTATTTAACTCGTAGGTCTTGTTTCTGTTCATACTATGTTCTGGTCTTTGAGCTGATGAGGTGTTTTTTTTTTCTTTTGCTACTCAAAGACGACAACCTGAAGGAGCTCCTGGAACTCTATGGGCAACCGACAGAAGGTGATCAGTCTGCATTGATGGCTCAATTTCTTGCATACTGTATTCAACTGGACGGTCATGGACCAGTCGTTGCACCAGCCCTACACTCTGCACCACCACCTTTGTAACCTGAATTTTCCCTACAAAACCTGTACTTCTGTATCTGTTATAGCAAAAAAAAATGTGCCAATGCAAAATATTAAGCAAAGTTGTGAGTCAGACACTATAACGCGTATAGTTATTTATATTGCTCTGAAATAACCCATTAACATTATCTACAGTTACTTAAACCTCGTATCAGTTAGGGCTCCGCACGTATACAGGCGTATAAATATGTACGTATTTTTTTTCACACACCAAATATGCATACACATGCATATATACAGCGTATACAGTGTATACTACTTGTGTATTAGTAATAAAAGTTTCATTTCGTTCTGCCCTGGAACTGTGCCCCAACAGCCATCTAAATCATCTCTTGTATCTAAATAACCTAGCAAATTCCCTTCAAACACAATTCAAAAAGCTTGGGCAGGCTGTAGACCTCAATGAGGTTATCAGGTTTCATTGTACTGCCTTGCAACTTCTCCCATACAGCCATCCCATTCACTCTTTGTCCCTGAACAACCTTGCAAGTTGTAACCTTGTAGAGGTTGCACGCGACTGGTTAACCTCTTATCACATGACTCCTCTTATGAATAGTTATCTTAGACATATCCGAGACATATCTTCTTCTTCCTCCTGTTTCTACATCTCAATACCAGTCAATTGCCCGTTCCGCGTTCAGAGCGAGACATTAGTCTACACAAGTTCCCTTAAAGCTTGATTTGATCTGCAAGGACGGACTACAGATTTTGATGAAGCTATCAACCACCATTGTGCTGCCCTGGACCTCTTTCCACTAGCAGAAGGCCATTCTGATCATTCTACATCACTGGGAAATTTAGGTTTTACATTGCTTTCCCAATTCAAGAAGTTTGGGCTCAAGAATGATCTTGAAGAATGTATACAATTAGAACGTGCTACAGTTCATAAATTTCAAGCTTGATGGAGCGTCTCAGGACTGTCAATTTATGGGCTGAATATAATACACCTTACATCTTGTACATAGTTTTGAACTATCAAAACTTGATAGGATATGATCATATTTTAATAATCTAAATATTTTAGATGTAAGAATACAAAAATTATTGAACTACAATTACCGATTTTGTACTCTTACATAAGTATAAGCTTACAAATATTATAGGTGCGTATATGGCGTATACACAAAATTTTTCAGGATCCTATACGCATACGCCCGTATGTATACACATACAGTACCTGGCCAAGCTTATTTTAAGGTCTGGAGTTTCTTTATCTATCCACGTCTTGGATGATCACTAATTTTAGTCTGTACAAGATGACTTCCATCCCAGACTGCTAGTCCTACCTCAAAGCTTGAAAGCTTCTATGTCGCAATACCCTTGCACAAGTCCTGGCGTATTTGTGAATTTTTTTCTCAATACGTATACGAGCGTATGTGTATACAGACCATACGCATACACACAGAGTCTTAGTATCAGTTTGGCTAGACGTCAGCCTCACAAAATGCTACAAACACCCAGCCCTCTCTAAGCAGTTCTAATAAATAGCAGGCTAGACGCCTAGTGTCTTGTTAAAGTGCCCTTCTTCGTCCATCATCTCATTGAGCTCTAGCCCTACTCTGTTTTAGCCTTTGCTATGGATGGAAACCGTAATCCATGGCAGCAAATCATAGACGAATTGATTCGTATTTCCAACGCCGAACATAATGCAAGGATCCAGGCTCTAGTCAATCTCGGAGAACGTCTAGGACATGCGGACGTGGATTTAATCAGGGGCTATGTATATCAGTTAGTGTTAATATTCTTGCCACTCTACTCTCACTTCCCTGTTTTCATATCCATTATCTTAACTGCTCTAGGGTCGAGATTACGAGGATTAGGAGCCTGAATTTGGTCACAATCGCGTGGCCGCTTGGGCGGGGACCACCTCCTCATCTTGTACCCTTGCCTAGACCAAATTTCCAGCCATTGCCACTCGGATTGTTCCCGCCAAGTATCGCGGCAATGCATCTACTGAATGGTAATCATCATCGCTTCTAATCATATTTAAGATAAATTTATTGTTTCACAGAGGACCAGCTCCGTGTTCTACTAGAGCTTTATGGTCTGGCACTGGATGGAGAACGCGAGCACCTTTTCCAGCGCTTCCTTTCCTAGTACATTAGCATGCACTCTTGATCTGATAGTAGAGTAACTCGGACTAGCAAGCATTTTCCGCTTTACGAATCATGTCTTCCATAAATCATGTACATATTTTCGGCAGTGACTCCAGTTAGTTATAGTTTCTTCACAACTTAGTGCCGCTCATAATCATGTATCGTCTTCATAGTGTGCTACCAATGTTCTGTACTTCCGGTGGACGATCCCAAGCAATTGATAAATCTGAATGAGAGACGCTGGTGCTGCACGTGTTTCCTAACTAACTAGCCAGCCCATTGGCATCCATGTCGCCCTTTGCCACGGAAATGTATCTCTCTGCGAGCGTGTGCAAATCATTGGACTGGAAGTCGCCCGTATCCACAAATCCAGGAAGGCCATGAGCGCGAAGGTATTCGTTGGCTAGGAAGAAAGCTAATCGTTGTGTTGTCAGAGACTCGGAGTCTTTTCTCAACGATGCCAGGGAAAATGATATTTGTCGCGTCGCACGGACCTGTTTGTTTGTTCCCATCTATGAACGGATGGCCTTTGATGATTCCGTATGCGATCTGTGCAGCAAGGTATGATGGTGTGCTGTCTGGCTCATATCTTGCAACGTGAAGAGGCCTGGCAAGAGCAGACTCGAGTTCGTTAGGCTTGACGATGATTGATTGTGCGGGGTGCACGAGTTGTGCGTTGATACGAGCAGCGTATGTTGGAGTGAAAAGGCGAGCAATCCGTTAACACTCGCCGCCATATATTCAGTATTTAGTATTTAGTATGAGATTGAACAAAGGTATGACTGAGCTCACGTGATGCTATTGTGAGGGTTGAGGACCACGCTGCAGCGGCCATTTGCTCCCGTCGCCGTCGCCGTCGCCGTCGTTGTCGTTGTCGTTGTCGTTGTCGTGTCCTCGCTATCGTCGTCGTTGTCGCCGAGTGCGTGGTCGTCGTCGTCACCGTCAGGCCCTCTTCTCGTCGTGCATGCAGTGCACACGGCACCACCACGTCTACTAATAAAATATATAGTATACCCTGCTTTTTCTCTCCCACTCTCTGCTGTTTTTTCTCCCTTGGGTTCTCCCTGTGTTCGTCTCTCCTCTAGTCCCGCTCGATGGTAGCTGTCCCGTCCCAGCCGCCTGCCCGCCCTCCGGCCTTGAATGAAGCAACAAAGCGCTCGACAACAACATGGCAGGAGGACCTTCAGTCGCTCTTCCATCGTGCAAAGGACCGCTTCCCCGATGTCGTCTGGGATCTTCTCGACGAAGATGCCATGGACGACGGCACCAACACCAACACCGAGGAGGTCTGGGGGCACAAAGGTATGTTCACACAGTTGTGTTGTTTGTGTCCTTTCATTCTCTGTCGACTGAACGCTACAAGCTATTGTCTATGCTCGAGCACCGCCGACCTTTCAGGCCCGATATTTCTCCTTCCGCCCTGCGCCTGTCGCCTCCCCGATCCCTTATGCTGCCTCGCCGACACCGTCCTTGCCAATGCCAACAACGTCAGCACTCTCCCTTAACCTCGGCGTTGAGTTCCCGTACCCGGCCTCCATGCGGTCTGTGTCGCCTTCCCATTTCCGGCCTATCTCCCCAGCGTCATCCATGGTCGGCGCACTCACGCGCATATCACTCAGCCATAATCCTGCCCTGTTCTCTAATGAGCTTGAATATCTGTATACCGGGAAGGGCTTCGGCGACGCGTTTGAGTTCCTGTTCGATGCGAATGAGAAAGGTCCGGAAGGCGATACCGATGTGGAGGAGGCGCGCATCGATAAGCTTCGGAAAGACCTCGTCTTCATGTGGAGGTCTCGTCTCTACTCGGACGTGAGAATTGAGCTGCACAACGACATGCCTGTCATTGACAACTCTGCAACCGAGAATGAAGAAGAAACGAGACCCGTCTTTTCCTCTCATCGATTCGTCCTCGTAACTCGTTCTCCTTATTTCTACGACCAGTTGATTACTTATGGCGTTAAGAATGCCCCTCCGCCCGGCGAGCTTACAACTCTTCGTCTCCCTTCTCCTCCCTTCACTGCTCCTGCTCTTCACTTTACTCTAGGATATCTATATACTGGTACACTCCACTTCAGCAATCGCTCATATGACTTGGACACTGCCTTTGCGATACTTTCTTCTGCAAATTACCTTCAGCTGCAGCCGCTGTATGACGAGGTGCAGGCTCGCCTCGTGCAGGAGATGCTCCACGGGCTCTTCCATGCCTTTCTCGAGTTTGCAGAGTACGAACGTATAACTGGAGGTCGATGGGGCACGGGTGGGTGTCGGTGTCGCCAATGTGCACGTCGGGCCCCACGTACTCTCCTCTTTGCTGTTCGTCCGGACGTCCAGAATACATACCTTGAGCGAGGTGCTCGACGTGCGTTGGTAGGCCTCTTTGGTGAGGGCTGGTGTAATGGCGACTTTGCTGGGCTCCCACAGAAAACAAAAGATGGACTCATGACTGGCTTGAAAAAACGTGTAGTCCCGCAGAACGTTTTTCCTCTGCTCTTCGCAGCGCACACAGCGCTGGCGAAGCTCATCTCGTTACGTGACGCGTGGGTAGATGGCGTGCGAGAGATGATCACGACAGCTCGAGGCTTCGTGGATACCGTGCTTTGTAATGAGGCGGAGAAGTGCTTTAATGAGCGAGAATGGGTTGACATTATGGAAAATGATGGAATGGGTCGCTTTGAGGATGGTGAACGCGTTGAATGGGTTATGGAAGCCGTTCGAAGAGGGATGTCTGAGTCGAATGCTGGAATGCTTTACCAGGTGAGGAATGGATATTGCTGAGAAGAATCTCTCCAATACTCATAATTTTCTTTATTAGACGCTGGTTTCTGCAATTCTTATCCGTCCAAACCCTAACGAACCGACCGAAAGCCTTTTGTCAGGCACCTCTCAGATCCGTGTGCAAGTTGAACAGACTCGCATGGACCTCCTCCGATGGATGCGGCGGCGCTGGGCCGGTATCCGGAATGAAGGTGGCTTCGATTCGTTGGAAAGCTGGGCGATCAAGGAGATAAGTGATGGTAAGTCCGAATGCCGCTTCTTCAGAGAATTGAGTTCTTGTTTTTCTTTTCACCTCTTGCTGATGATTGAATGATGAATGATCTTCAGAGATCAACATACCGGTTGAGGACCTTCTAACGCCGACCGCGAATGGGGCCGCAACTTTACGGGCTCCGCTCACACGAACGGGGCTTCGGCCTACGCTGAGCAGAGTGGAAGATACGTCGGAACGCGAGAGTGTCGCTACGGCGCACTCGCTACGGGCGAGTGTGCTGAATAAGAACCATGGACGGGGCAATGGGCCTGTTGTCGCATCTTCGGGGGCATCTGTGAGAAGTGTAGCTCGGAGCGTAGCTTCGACAACGAGCCGTGCGTCGTCGCGTTTGACAACTGCGACAGAACGTGAGCGGAAAGAGAGTAGGCCGGATTCAAAATTGGCACCGTCGTCATCGCGAAGTACGAGCTTCAGCACAAACGCTGGTGCGCCTATTCAGAGAGCGTCGAGTTCGCTTTCGTATACGTCTGGGATGGACGTGGATGGAGAAGGTGACGGGGCGCCGTCGTCGAGTGTAAGAGTGAAGAGCCCAGCACCCGCGCGTTCGGGGGCGTCGTCTTCGACATCGATTCGACGACCTATTGTAGCAGCTCGCTCTTCCCCTCGTATTGGCGGGAAAGACACGACCGACTCTGCCAGTGCCCTGAGTATAAATCAGCTGAACGTCGTTTCTGTGCAGAGACCAAAATCATCTGCTGCCTCCGTAACGTCTACTCGCTCACACGCATCCACAATTCGAAGAAATGCTGCCGCTACAGGACAGAACAACACTCTCCGACCGTCTCCTCAGCCCGCCCGACCGACGTCGTCACTCTCAAATGTATCGGTTTCAAGTAGCAGAAGTGCAACCTCGACGCGCGAAACTAAGTTCAGGACGCCTGTCGACTCGGCATCGGTTCGATCGAGGAAGATCTCAACGACATCGACTGCGTCGGTTCGGAGTACAGCTGCATCCACTAAGTCACCGAAAACGCCTGCGCCTACGCTGCCGAAAGGACGGCCGCGGCGCGCGTCTGAAACGACTGCATCTTCGGCAACTGTGTCATCACGCATGCGAAAGGTGTCGCCAAATACAACTTCATCAACCGCCGGAGCAACAACGAGGTCCCCGGCAAACAAAACCCCGACTCTCCGGAAGTCGCCCTCAGCGAGTTCAATAAAATCAACTGCATCTGCTGCGACAGCCGGGAAGAAAACGAGTACAATGAAGAAATCTTCTGGGACGACAGATGAGAAGAAGACGGTGACCGCGAGACAACGTCCCGGGTCGAATAAGCCGTTACCGAAGATGCCGTCGAAGGAGAATATCGATCCTGAAGATCCGCCGAACACAGCTAGCACGCTAACGATCCGAGAAAAAGGGAAGGGAAGGGCGGATGCTATTATTGCTGCGGATAGGAAGTCATTACGGTTGAGTGATAACGGTTCCAGTACGACTCGCGCGACGTTAAGGCGCAAGGAGTCCAATGATACGATTACATTGAATCAAGCGCCAGCAGGAGGTGCGACTGTAAAGGCAGAGTCAACAACAGGGGAGACAGTTATGCCACAACCCCGTGGAGCGACACTGGATATCGGCATCCCGTGTATTATCACGTCAAAGCGGAAACGTTTCCGAGCGTTTGCGCGTTACATTGGTGAGGTGGAGGGCGAGCGTGGGCCGTGGGTGGGCGTAGAGGTACCCGTTGGTGAGTCCTGGGTGGACGACCAGAATGATGGACGTCAATGGAACGATGGGTCGTGGGGCGGTGTGCGTTACTTTGATGTCGGCTCACAAGCTTCGGAATGGGGTGATGACGAGCGGTTAAGCCGAAGACGGCGCATGGGGGACCTGACGAATGGAGGGTATGGAAGTACGATAAGTGCGTGGAAGGGCACGAAGCGCGAGGGTGAGCAGTTAAGCGTGGATCGTAAGAAACGATTCCGGAGTGCATCACCATCGGTTTCTGAAGTCTCAAATGCGGAGTACAGAGGATTGTTCGTGAGACCGCAGCAGGTGCTGTATGTTGTTGATGCTGTCGGTTCGGACCTGTGAAGTGAACCCCGCGCGGAACAGTTTTCAAATTTCATATGTTTTGTGTTCTTTGGATCTCCCCCCCTTTTTTCTTAGTCCACTTTCTTATTCCAAATGTCATTGTCTACTTCTGTTTTACTCGTTTATCATACTCACATGAATAGTCGCTCCTTGTGCATGGGCAGATGCACGCGCAGACGCAAACGCACATTGCCCATACATTATTATCATCGCTTTGAAATTGGAATTAAAATCACTCGCTCCTTGATTTTTCATATTCCCCCCCCCCCCCTCATCTACTCGAATGACCGGATCTCGTTTCTTTGCTTCTGGCTTTGACCCATGGATCGCAGCCTTCATCATCCTGCAGAACTCTCAGTGTTTACCCTTCTTACTCTGTCCTTTCCTCACTTTCATCTAATTGGTCTCTTAAGATGTTGTTAGTTGCTGGCCCTTCTGTGTAATCTCGTGCTTTCGAGACTTTATCTCTTTGTGTATCTACAACTCAACTCACGTTCCCTGGCGTATCTTTCCCAAATGTGCTTTAAGCAAATTTTATTGATTTCGGAGAAGATTAGGAGTAGCTTTAGCATAATAGCTGATTTTAATGAATGACTTGCCCTTAACGTGGCGATAACACAATAGTAACTGGTACAAGCATTTTAGACAAGTGTAAGTATTCATCAAAGAAAATCATAATACATCATCAATCTTGTTAGTTGCGAAAAGGCTTTACTAATTCAGAGCCTATCTGCTCTTTACACTAGCAGGCGCAGACACTAGTGACGACGACACCAAGCTATGTGAGAACGAAACTTCCGAGTGCATGCTTTGGGACGCTGAGGAAGTATGTATGGAAGAAGTCTCAGAATTCGTTGCTCGGCTTGACTCCGTCGTAGCAGTGCTGAAAGCTTGATGAGCGCTAGGTATGGAGACGTCTGGACTTTGAAGCGGCATCGAAGAAGATGGCTCTGGTGAAAAGGACGCAGAAGCAGTCTGGAGGAGACTTGCAAATGCGGTGTCTGTGCAGGGCCCGTCGTCCTGCCAGTCACCTGCAGCGCCTGGTTGAATCGGACGAGGTCAGAGACGATTACTGACGAGTAAATTTTACGTACCGCCAGGGATATCTGCCTCGGACCACCATTTCGCAGTCCATAAATGACCATTGTAGGTCACTTCAGAGCCTCCAGGATACTGCAAAGGGCCAAAGTTAGGGAGAAGCTTTGAACGGTATGATGTTACATACGGCAATCGTGTTGGACCACGGGGCGATACCCGCGCAGCTTCCGGCAGTGGCTGTGGCAGTGCTTGCAGACGACGTCGACGTAATTGAACTGCTGCTAATAGTAGTAGAGGTACTAGCAACAGATGATGAGCTGGATGGAGATGCAGTAACGGATCCTCCTGTCAAGGCACTTTTCGCCGCTATGTCGTACCTAGAATTCGCTAAAAATACATAGTTACAAATTTGTCTTGTTTTAAAATAGGAAACAGGAACATAATATCAATCCGTACCGTAGGCTTGACTAGCATCCCACATCATGACGCCTCCGAAGCTCGAGAACTGCGATTGCGTGGTCTGGATTATATTTGCTAGCGTCGCTGCATCGACGTAACCTGAGCCTGCGGCGGTGCTTGAAGCTGGTGCACCGATATATACTTTCACGTTTGGATTTGGGGACGTATTATGTGCCCAGTCGTCCCATTGTGCGAAATTCCATGCCTGGAACAGCACGTCAATAAGATGGATAGAACTAATGGTCGAAAGGTTCATCCGGCTTACATTGGGATCATCGAAGTTCTGTAATCCACAAAAATTGTTGTCTGTGATAATTTTTAGTGACATTGCATCTACAAGATATGCCCTGAACTCACAGAATTGGACATAAACTGCATCAAAGCCAACCGCACTGATGACAGCACCCAGATTGGCATCGGGGAAAGGGCATTGTGGAGCGGCAGTGATGTAGTACTGCTTACTCGCGCCCTGTGCATGCGAGCGGATACGTGAAACGAATGCTGCGTATCCAGTTGACCCTCCACCTTCAATATCAAGGTCAATACCATCAAGGACTGCCTCGCCAAAAGGTCGAGTCGAGTTCGAGCCACCAAGGAAGATGTTCCAAATCGTGTCTGCGAACTCTTCAGCCTCGGAATCTGAGCTAAGAGTGATTGCACCAGTTGCACCACCGATACTGTGTACATCCCAGTTCAGCACCAAGCGAACGGAAGAAACCGATAGATATGATGCCTGACCTTAGCGTAACGATCTTACCCGCAGCTTGGCAAGCCTCGATATCGGGTGCGAGGGCCGAGCAATCTGGAAGCTGTGTTCCCGGAAATGTAGCATTATCGTTAACATTACAGGTCTGATATGCATGAAGTATGAATGGATAGTCAATTGTATGATATTAGACTGAACTCACATTCGCAAGATCAATCGATGGAAGACCGCCCTCACCGAAAGCCTCTGTGAGGAAAGCAACTGGGAAGGTATCTGTAACACTATCCGATGTGCAATAGAAGCCTAAAGGCTTTTGGAAATTGGCAACATCATCGGGGTTTGTAGCGCCATACGAATCTTGTCCCCAATATCTACATCACGTTAATCACATAGAAATGGAATCATAGGAAGGGTGTCCCCTACAACACGAGCTTCAAAGCTATATGAGCAGCTTGACACGAAAAAGCAAACAGAGAGTATACTCACATTATCATTGCGCGATATATCGAATCCGAGTGTGGCATGAATAAAAGGACATATTGACAAGACAATAAAGGCGAGCGAAAACATGTTTTAAGGCTTGAGGTGACGTATCAGCACCTGGAAACCGGTACCAGCGAAGTAAGAGAGTCTAAAGACTGGAGACACATATCGTCGCTCCCAAGCCAGCTTTTAAAGCGAAAAACGCAGGTACAACCTCAGAGAGATACGAAGTTGGAGGCTGCCAGCATGTACACAACAACATATGTATAGACAATGAAAGCAAGGGGAAGCCATGCGCAGCAGAACCAAGTGTGATAAGCACACCAGATTACATTCAAAAACGGCCTTTTTTTCTGCACCCATGTGCTATTTTTGTACAAGCTCGCCGCCATAAGAGCTATTTATAACAAGCAGATACAGGTGATCGAAGCTGAGAGGGACGTCTGACGTGGCAAGGCAAGGTACAGTAGACATTTTGAAGTTGACACAGTTGGTAAGTGGCATCTACCACACTCGGGAAACTTTACGCTGAGTCGCCGGAGAATGGCGAATGGCCGACATGCATATATTGATCGACTTGGACCGTCAAATATCACAGGCACCCATTCGACGTAGCTACGCTGACGAGTGATACCTTTTTAACTGAGAAAAGAGACATTATTTGTGATTTCCTGGCTTGTTGTCCTAGACTGGGTCCCGTTAAGGATTATGAATTACGGTGGGTTGACGTTTCATGTTTTAGAGTCTACTTGGGAGGCAGGAGAGAGGAACAAGGAGAAGGAGCTTTGTGCGTTCAAGGTTTCCTGGCACGGACTTTTCCGCGGAGTCGCACTTTGCGCTGCAATCGATGTTGAACCAATCAATCTCCCAAGTGAGTAAATCGCAGAACCCTTTCCTTTCGAACTCAATCATTATAATATTGTAAATCCTTCGATACTAATTATATAAATCCATAATTCCGAACGACAAAGTAGGAGAGCCCTATTACAATGTTTTTGAAACAAAATAGCCAGAACATGTACATAACGTAACATGCGTCAACGAAAGGAACCAACCAAACCAGCCAGTCAATGTTAATTTCATCCGACCGTGCTACATCAAGAACAACCCGAAGGAAGCGAAGACGAAACGAAAGAAGAAAAAGGAGTAAGGATACACGAACGTTCAAAATTTAAACCTCTACAGTATTGTACGTATGTATGTAATACTATTATATGCACTCCCAGATGAGAATGTTCAATGTAATTCGATGAGCAGTAATTCAAGAAGAGAATGCAGTATAAAAGCAACCTAGAGAGGGACACAAACAAAAAAAAAGGAGAAACTGATTCAACTATGCCTGGACGTTCTCTATCCAGGTACCTTGGTGCGACTGACGTTGTTGTTGCTGTTGCCGCCGAAGCCGCTGCCGCGTCTCAAGTACGCCAACTTCCTCGCGCAGCTTATCGTTTGCGTACTTGAGCTGCTGGAGTTCGTATTGCCAAGATGTACCCCTATGTGTCTCGAACTCGGCGAAGGCGTTCGTCGTCGGTGCATGAGAGATCCGCCCTGCGGTGCTGGAGGAGAATGTTGCGTGGGCGTGGCCATGAGCGGGAACATGAGAGTGGACGTACGGTGTGTGAGGATACGGGTGGGAAGGATGACTATGGGGGTGTGAGGACGTGAATTGATGTACATAAGGTGAGGTGTGGTACGTCGGAGAGAAGAGCTGGGAATGGTAAGCAGATGCCGGTGCAGACAAAGAGGGGGACGGCAGGATCTTAAACTGCACAATAATCCGACCGCTGACCGTTCGCGATTCGTTAGCATACAAAGTCACGTCCATCGATACCATTTCGCCATCCCGTCTCCTCATTCGACACGAGAGCTTCTGTGTACCACTTTCTCCCGCGTAAGCGATTTTAACTGCAGTAAGAACTTGTTCCGCAGATGCAAAAGCATAAGTACTGGGAGAGTGGGGTTCAGCATCGTCGGATACGACAAAGTCGCGAATGGAGCGCCCAATCATCTCAGCAGAACCCCATCCAAGGAGCTCACGCGAGGCCATACCTGCAACGAGGAAAAGTCCATCTTCGCAAAGCATTGCCCAGAGTTCACGTTCTTCTCCAGAGCTTTCTTCGGGCGCTGAACCACCAGAAAGTGACCCATGCGGAATAATAGATGTGGAAGTCCCGAGGATCCCCCCAGCCTGCGAGATGGCTCCCCAGCGAAGATTAGGCATGGCACATGTCCTCCCGCTGAGGACAATCGCCTTTCTACCCTTACCAGCTTCAACGTGGAGACGGCCAATCGACTCAACCCATGCGTAACCGCCCGCCTTGGTCCGCATACGGAACAGTAAATCAACGGTACGCTGGCCCATGTGCGTTTGTCGTGCCTCGTGTCCCTCACCGGACGCAGTGTCGCCTGATTCATTTGCACTAGGCACGACGGTATGACCTGTACTTTCCTTCAATTCGCGCAGGAGCGGAACCGCATCACTTGGGTGGCAAAAGTCGCCGACGGATTTGCCAATAAGATCGGCTGGGGAGTAACCCAAAACACGGGTGATACCAGGGGACACGTAAAGAAAGTGACCCTTAAGCGAGAGGACGTGAATAAAGTCGGGCAAGTGTTCGAGTAGGAGGAGATGCAGCCATTGGCGCTCGTCGCGCGTGTCGGGTTTACTTGCCGATCTCGAGCTTGATGCCGACGTGTTTGGGTCAGTGGTAGAGCTGGTAGCAGTGGCAGAAGATTGTGCAGAATTGCACGAAACTGTAAGGGGCACAGAAGATTGGAAAGACGGATCGGAAAGTAGTGCACGAAGATTCCTTCCGAGGCCTCTAGCACTCCTCTCCGCTGGTGTCAAACTCTTATATAACGAATCACCTGGATCATCACTAGAGTAAAACTTCCCTTGCTGCATGCGTTGCGTAATGAGTCCTGGTTGCACATTAAGGTCGACCTGGAATCCAACATGGAAAGCAATCTCTGATCCATCATCCGTAGCTGGGATAGGTACGATTGATACGCGATTTACGAATGGTTGTTCGTCCTTTCGGTAATTGACCAGGCTCACCTGAACCTCACGATCCTTGTCAAGAGCGAAGCGCATATCCCGTACCGCGTCCGAGGAGGTAAAGCGGCGTATCTCGGAGCGCGCAACGCGCCCTCCAGGAGCCTGCAAAAAACGGCAGTTTTGCCCTAAAATCTCACCCTCAGAATACCCTGTGAGTTCACAGAATGTTGGGGACGCATAAACGACAGGCGCATCTGGCTGTCGGACATCAGCAACGATGAACGAACAGGAAAAATCCACTGGTCCGAGAGAGATAGTCTGATTAGGACGTCGGGCGACACGTGCAAGGATGCTGAGCATATCGAACCCGGACTGGGAGTAAAGAGGGAGACCTGCGGAGGGCATTAGAGCGTAGACTCCCTGAGGAGAAAACTGTCGAAGTGCGTCCATGGGATGTACTTCCATCGATGGTACAGACGAAGGAGCATGCTCGTCTGAGGGGACGACGGCTCCTGCTGTCGGGCGTGCAATTGGGCGGGACGTTTCATCCATGGCCTCACTCTCTTGCTGAACAGTGGTGTCCATTTTCTGCTCCTGGGACATATCGGCATTTAGATATCCAAAGGGCGACGCCGCGGCCGGAGCCGGGGGACTCTTGGAATGCGTATGAGCTGAAGCGGACGTAGACGCACTTACAGGTGCAGATGCAGCACCGTCAGCGACGTCATCCTGGTGCTGTTGCTCCTCGATCGTATAGCATTTGCTGTTACATGATAAATGTCAGTTGCTGCCATCATTGTAGTAGAGAAAGAAGCTCGCAAAAATACAATAGTATTGATCCGGGAATGAAATTTGATTAAGGAGATGAAACGCACGGTGTTTGCCACGAAAGTGCCTTCTCACTACAGCTGCTGCTGCCAAGAGATGACTGCAGAAGGCCATAAGGCGAAGAAAAAGAGCTTAACATGCCCATGGTACACGGGGTGAGTACCTCAGCGCCTCCTCCTGGCGCAAGTGTCCCGCCGAAACCTCCCATGAGGAAAGCAGGCATTTGGAAAATGCCCTCGTTTCCGCCGCCCCCGGGGTGTGCGGAGGAAGGAGAGGGAGATGCAAACTGTTTTCCATTACTACTGCTGCCGCTGGAGGAGGAGGACGGACCGGCGCTTACTGTAGAGCAATGCATATCAAGAGGCCTGGACCGGGTGCTGTAACTCGCCGGAGCGAAGTCTTGCATCACCATGCCCGCAGACGGATAGGTGCTATAGCCAGGAAACCCTTGCTGCGACTGAAAATGAGTTTGTTGGGGAGGATGAGCCTGGCCTGAGTGAGCAGGCTGGCCTCGGGAGTCGTTCTGGCCTGCATCAGCGGAACGCGGAGTCGGTTCACGTATGTAAGAGAACGGCATGTCCCTGTTTTCTTTGGCAGAGAGAACGGTGGTGATGGTGGTGGTGGGCAGAGACGGAGGGGAGGCAGGGGAGGCGAGAGGGTATTATATTGTGGAGATGTATATATGTGCGTTGAGTGCAGTATCAGAATCTCGTTGTCTTCGCGAACACGGTGCCTCGCTCCCTGACCCTGCTTCGAATCTCGGTCTTTTCGGCGTCTCTCCTAACCGCGTCGAGCAGCCTGAAGATAAATTATTTGCGGCGGCGGAGAGCAGAGGAGGTGGCGGGCGAGCAGCAGATGATGGTGGAAGGAGGAAGACGCTAGTGCAGCGAGTGGAAGAGTCAAGACTGGACGTCATTTCACATTATCGTATTCCGTTTATGGAAGGATTATGTTATTACTTAATATATATCAAGTGCCACAGCGCTCGCAGCCACAATATTCTATATACTTATTACGAGAGCTCTGAAAAAAATAATTCAAAGCTGCACTCTTTATTTAACTTTAAATAACCAAAGATGCCGCCCAGTGTATAAGTATTCCTACATCGGCCAGGGAACATTGTCTACATGAAAAGTAGTGCCTTCACAACTGTGTATGCATCCGTTATCGCTGTCTCCTCCCATTACTTCCTGGCATGGACGACGCCGGTCTCAAGATTTGGTTAGTTTAGAGTTCTTTTAGGCAGCAAATATCGCCTGTATCTTATTCTTAGAAACGCACATGCCTGATTCAGCTCCGAGGTTCTTCATTACATTAAATTAAACAATTTATTTAGTTGAATAGTGTACCCACCTCAAGCATAGCCGTCATACAATGTACATCTATACAACAGGTGAGCAGGATGGAAACAATCGGAATCTTTCATCTTTGCCCCGTTTCCCCTAGCCACCGTCCATATCTCCCGGACGGCGTAGTGAATATAGGGCATACTGAATCAACAAGCTTCTTAATGCAGATAGCAGCTGTATAAAGGCACATGTACTACTGTACAAAGGGGCATGTAACATAATTATGCCTTGAGCTGTGCACGGAGGTTGGACTCGAGCGGGCCCTTAGGGCGGATGAATTGGACATAGGCGCCATCCCTGCAAAATAATATTAGTAACTAACTATGAGAAAATAAGGAGTAAATTGAAACGCACTGAACGACAAGTTTATCCTCCTTCAACTTCGGATAATTCTCACGATCAACATTCGTGAATCCCCACTTCTTCGAAACAATGATCTTCTGGCGACCAGGAAACTTGTAACGGGCACGGCGAAGAGCCTCCTGGATGACATGCGCGTTGGAGTCCTTGCATCGGATGCTAAGGATGATCTGCCCAATATTCACACGCGCAACGGTTCCATAGGGCTTCCCCCATGCACCACGCATACCCGTCTGCAGCCTATCTGCACCAGCACAAGACAACATCTTGTTGATTCGGATGACGTGGAAGGGGTGTACCCGCACGCGAAGATGGAAAGAATCCTTCCCTGCAACCTTAGTTACATATTTGTTCGCGCAGATACGGGCTGCTTCGAGAGCTTCCGACGATAGCTGCTCGTATTCATCGGAGACCAAATGACAGCAGAATGGGAAATCGTCTACAGATGCACGCTTACGGCCCAAGTCGAAGATTTTAATCTGCCGAAATAGTTACGAATAGGTAAATCGGAATATAAAAACGAAATTAAGGACCTGTGCAAACCTTCGGGTCGGGAACACCACGATTGTAGCGCGACTTTGGGTAGGGCTTGTTCTTGCAGTATCGATAGCAACGAGCTGGACGGCGACCCATTTCTACGCGGATAGAGTCTCGGTCAGCAACACATCCAAACTTACGACACTCAATCCACCGAATTTCATCCAATCCAACCAGAACTTCTCCATCCCAGCCAATCCAGCGGAACTTTCTGCTGTACGACGGCAAATCTAAACAAGAAGAGCGTACTCACTGTTGTGCAAATGTGGAGCGGAATAGACAGTGGCGGATGGGACGACAAACGCTTTGCTTATAACAACGGCGTTTGCCGGGAGGATCAGTCAGCACCAGCGATGGAGATGACAAAGCATCTCTAGAAGTCACAGGTTTTTCCGCAATTGCTGACTGACGACTTCTAATTTCACCGACTTCAGTACGTCAAATTCAAGGATTGTGATTGTCACTGGCAGGCCTATAACCGTGGGTCAAAAGTATCACTTACTTTCTCCGATACTGCATATATGTCTTTCTGGCTCAACGTGAATTGCCCTTGTTCACACGACTCTGTTATATCGGCTGCCAGCGCATCCCGCTCCTTGTTCCGCTCAAATACATTCTCATCACTACAGGTCGGTCACTGGACCTCCACTTACCGCCTAGATCGGTTTCCACGCGACGTAAGGAAAGCAGAAGAAGGCTGCCTTGCATATGGCTGACACGTCATGTTTGATCTACAGCGCATTATGGACTTGCGTGCTGCCCCGTCTGATAATACTCTACGTCAATTTCTCCTTGTCGACCGCTTGTCTTTCTTGTATTTTCATGCACGCGATCGTCGTCCGGCACAAGCTTTGACTCTTCCGAGTCCATGTGCCGGAGCGCACTCCCAAGACTAAGTCCGTCAATATCAATATTATGTATGCCACGTCAATGTTCACTCTCCTTGATCATCTGTGTCTTCTCAAACTGGCTTGCTTATTGAAAGCACTCCCTCGGATATACAGCTGCGTTCTCACTGAAAGAAGCGCGGAAAACCCCTTTATGCTAGAAAACTGTATCGCTTATCGTAGTTTTGCTGCGTATGGACAGCGTTTTCCCCTTGCTCTTCGTTTTGTCAAGATGCGTGGACGTACTCGCTGGCAATCTGGCAATCTATTATATGCTATCTGCTAGTTTATTTGTTTTCTATGGGTCGTATAAAAGTCTGGGGAAAGAAATGAAGAAGCCCTCAGTCTTCTCGACTCTCAGCTAGCAGCGGCTTGCGTTCATTCGTACTAGTCAACGCCTACAGCATGGTTTCACTCTCTTTTGCCGCTCTTTCGCTGCTGTCTCTCGTTCATGCTGCCGTAGGCTTTGACATATCACGCAATGATAATGTGAGTCACATAACGATCCATTCCGATAAGATTGTCTTATACCTTCTTCTTTCTAGTTGGTCCTGTATGAACCTTCACATCATTCTCGAATTATATATGTGATTGAGCATTGCTTAGGTACTGGGGCCAAAACTCGTACGGCGCAACGCATAGCGATGTCGCCAACTTCCAGAAGCGTCTAGGCTTCTACTGTACTTCGGACAGTGTTACCGACACCTTCCCACTCGCTTTCCTCACAGCGGCATTTGGTGAGGGTGGCCTTCCTTCGATCGATCTGTCAAATGTACGTTATTTTCCGTAGCGGAACACATTTAAGTACAGTTGTAGAAACTAACAAACGCACCAGATCTGTAACCAGAACGACAATGCGACGTTCCCCGGAACTCAACTTCCAAACTGTGCGGCTTTGGCTCCTGACATCGAGTCATGCCAAGCAGCTGGCAAAATCGTCACGCTCAGGTCAGTAGCTATTTCCTTGGAATACACACCTAAACTAAAAAGAATGACACAGTATCGGTGGCGCAACCGGTGCTATCGGCTTTACCTCAGACTCACAAGCCGAAACCTTCGCGGACACAATTTGGAATGTCTTCCTCGGCGGCTCAAGCTCTACACGACCATTCGGTGCCGCAGTTCTTGACGGGATCGATCTTGACATCGAGGGTGGCGGGTCATCTGGATATGCGGCGTTCGTAACGCGCATTCGATCACATGCCCAAGGTGCCAATAAGAAATACTTTATCACGGCAGCGCCACAATGTCCCTTCCCGGATGCGAATCTCGGTGCTGTTATTAACGCGGTCGGCTTTGATGCGGTTTATGTCCAGTTCTGTAAGTGCTTTATACTTTAAGGCGATACTGTGCTCATTAATCGGCATGACGTTGTAGATAACAACTTCTGTGGCTTACAAAACTTCAACAATCCCAACGTACGCTATTTTTATTTTTTATCTGCTATATCAGTGATTTATCACGTTGCATGTCTAGGCATGGAACTTCGCGCAATGGGACGATTGGGCGCACAACACTTCACCAAACAAGAACGTAAAGGTATACATCGGTGCACCTGCCTCGAGCACCGCTGCCGGATCTGGTTTCGTCGACGCTGGGACATTAGCCAGTATCGTCAAAACTACCCAGTCGCAGTTCTCCAGCTTTGGTGGTGTGATGATGTGGGACGCTAGTCAAGCCTACGGTACGTATGTAAATAGTCTACGACTCGATCAGAACCTGATGAGGAGAATAGCGAACTCGAGATACGATATCGCAGCAAAGAATGCTATGACTGGTGGAAACGTTCCTGTGCCACCCTCGAGTTCGTCATCAACTCGAACGACCTCCTCAACCAGATCAACGTCCACGTCATCAAGCACCGCTGTGCCTACAGCTGGCAGCTGTGCAGGTGTTGCCCCCTGGTCAAGCTCCATTGCAGTGCGTAGTAACTCGTGCACTATATGAATTACCAAATGACGAACCTCACTTTAGTACAACGGCGGTTCGCAAGTGACCTTCAACGGACATCTCTGGACCGCAAAATGGTGGTCTCAAGCTGACCAGCCTGGTGGTATGTTCTCGGATCAACCCTTTTTCCTTATCTTCATCGACTCAACATGCTTATAAGCAGGTGCCGCTGACGACTGGACGGACAACGGTCCGTGCACAAACGCACGTTTCCCAGCACCTACAGCTACATCGTCTCACGAAGCAGCACCATCTCCGTCTGCTTCCGTCAAGCCATCATCAGCGACCGCCGCCACCGCGACATCGAGCGCGGTGGAATCTCACTCTGCGCGTCAGAGTTCTGCTGTCGCGACGTCCAGCGTCGTTCATTCGTCTGCTTCCGCTATCTCGGCTGTAACTAAGCCTGCTCGACTCTCCGCTTCTCATGACGTTTCACCTTCGTCCGTCGCTTCCGCGCCTGCAGTGTCTGCTAGCACAAAGGAAGGACGGGCTTTACGCTTCAACAGAAATAATGTATTCTAAATTGCTAGATTCGACGATTTGTATTTGTAAAGGGATTTATGACCAACAACTAAATGGCCATGGTTACGGTGTTTGTTATGGAATGTAGATGAAATTAAGAAATCACAAGCATGACTATACAATTTATCAATCATCATCCTCTTATTGCAATTTGACAATGTGAAGCAATGCTCGATGGGATCACGAGATGAAAACGGAAAAGTAGTTTCCATCAACGGCTTTGTATGGCCGAGTCCCGCACCTCGCGCATCGAATCATCACGTTCGCCATGCACAGCTGCGACAAATTCAATCACGAAGGACAACAGATGCTTTTCTTTTACTTTTCATAAGACCTGCTTGTTGGTCTTAGCCACATCGAATAGCAACAAACGTCCCCTCCACCATCCCAACCAAGCATGAACACCAACGGTCCGGCACCGAGCTTCCCGACTCAAATCCCTAGTACGCAATCCTCGGATATCGAACATCCTCGTTCGCCACCACCAGCATTTCCAAATCCTCACAATGGACCGTTGACGGGTAACTATCCACAAGGTATGCATTCGCGGCTGAAGTCGACAGTAAAACCGCTTTCAAAGCTGACGTACATTTTTTCTTTTCAAAGGACCTCCGGGCATCTCGAGGATGTCCTCACCCCCGACTCATGGTCCTCACGGCTCAATTTCCCATCCCCCACCATACGCATCTATCGACCCTAACACCATAAATAACAATCAGCCCCGGCCTCATAGCGGTATGCCTCCCAATGGACGACACGGCGCTGAAGGAGACGCAGACTCTGTAATGTCTTCGCCTGGGAAGGAACGATTGTCAGGACCGCGCATGATGGATACTTGTCAATGGTGAGTTTCGGTTGTTCTTGTATTTACACCTGTATCAGCTTTTTATCTCGAGCGTCACATACTTGGGTTCAAAATCACCGTGCCCACAAAGTACTGTAACGGATGGATGGCTAACTTGATTTGTTTGTAGCGTTGCTGGGTGCTGTGCCTTTCTAACGTGCTGCTCGCTCTGTTGCTTCTAGATCCAGAGATGATGTCGCGATTTATCATATACACTGTACATATATCTTTGGTGTGAAGCATATCGAATCTAATGATCTCTAATCGGAGTCGACCAATAGAATTGCTGATAGCATTTCCTTGGTGCTGTTATGAGGACTACAACTTGAACATACTACAGGAAGGGAATACTACATCAAAATCTAGAAGCCCACTAGATCATACTGGGGCAGATAAACTACATTCAGGTATCATCAGTGACAGGGATTATGCCATTGGGCAATTCTGGAATGCAATTGCTGGCTATTCAGTAGGATTTCCTACTGTTCGTCCGGAATTGTATTTGACACAATTATCGTCGTTATCGGACACCTGGCATCTTCGGAAGGTTTGTGCATTGCGCAACCCGAAGGAACGAAAACAAAAACGTTGACGGCTCGTCAGCACTTAAGGAGAGGGAAACAGGCAATACACACACAGCGAATAAAATCGGAGGTATGACTTTTTCTTTGCCTGTGGCAAGCCAGTCTACTAAGCGTATACCAACGGGCGGTCCACGTTATGCTCACGTTTGTCACTCATCTCTGCGTCTTTACCACCACGAAGCGCTTCCGTTACCGTCATCGAACATTCCGAGCCACGTCCCATGGGAGCATTGCAGGTACATAAGAAGACGTTCGAGAATGTGTTACTTCGCAAGCTAATTCAAGTGCGTCCGCAGTTCGGCAAGCATCTCAGAAGGTGTCCGCCGGACGGCGAGTGGCGCGGGCACGATTCGGTTTGCGCGGTGGAACGTGCGTGCCAGGAATACTATTCTTGCCTCCAAGCCAATCGGTCAGGCTGTTTGGTACCGGACCCATTTGATTGAGCTTTTGCGGAACTCCATTGCAATACATACGTTAGTAACCAATCGCATTATCGCTGAAAATGAATAACGAAGCCTTTGCATCAGGTTCTATTCTAAAATAGCATAATTTAATTACAGGTCCGGCTTTCCATCCAGTTCCTTTTAATAAGGCAGGTGTCGTGACAGAGGAGCCTGGGATAACTTTCACCTACTTGTCTGAATACGAATAAACCATTCAAGCTGGTGCCCTGAACGTGTTCGCTTTCTCTCTGACTACGATGAGTACCATCCAGCGCGAGGGCAGCTCTGAACATGACGGATCTATCAAAAAGCAAGACATTGAAATAGAGGAGACAAGAGTTGCCTGCCAGGATAACACAAGTAACAGTGATGAGGAGAAGAGTTTGGTGATCTCCGTCCAGGAACGGAAGCTGGTTCGGAAGCTTGATAAACGCATTTTACCAATCATTTGCTTGATGTACCTCTTTGCTTGTGCGTCGATAGATCCCAGTTTAATGTTATGTAGATCGTACTGACCTACTTCACTTATACCCATTTATAGTCCTGGACAGATCAAATCTGGGCAATGCGCGTCTGCAAGGACTACCTGAAGATACTCTCCATGGCGATCCGACAGGGAAACTGTATAACTGGGTTTTCTCGGCTTTCTTCTTCTCCTATGTAGGTTTCTCTCTGAAATCCAGATGAATGTGAATAGATAGGCATGCCCCACTATGCGTTTGTCTACAGATCCTTTGCCAAGTTCCCCTGGTCATAACGTCCAAGTTCTTTCCGCCTCGTCGCTGGCTTGGATTGGCAGTTATTGGATGGGGAATTTGTTCGACACTCATGGTTCGTCCGTAGAACATTCAGCATTTTCGATGCATGCTGAGCAATGGAGACTTTCTAGGCCACAGGATTCAACTTTACTGGCTTGTTCATTGATCGTGTCATGCTTGGCGCATTTGAAGCCGCCTCTGGCCCGATAATACCGCTTTATCTTTGTAATTCGTATGTCTTCTATAGACCCAGACTCAACGCTAAGTATATTCTTTCCAGCGTACTTTTATACCAAGCACGAAATCGGTTTACGGCTTGCGTATTATCAGACTTTCTCCGCTATTGCAGGTGTATGCGGCGGATTCATCGCTTTCGGAATCCAAAACGCGAATATAGCGATTGCGAATTGGCGTCTCCTATTCATAGTCGAGGTATATGCCCTTTTCTTAATATTACAATAATTGTCGATTTCCTTACGTACATTCCAAACAGGGAGTCCCTGGGATGCTCATGGGAGTAATTGCTCTTTTCGCCCTGCCGGACAGACCAGAAATGACGCATTTCTTTACGGAAGACGAGCGGAGACTAGCAATGGAACGCCGGACACGCTCGATCAGCGGAGACGTCGGATTCACGGTGAACAAATGTTCGTACAAATCATTCATCAAGCTGGGCATTCCTCGCCTAAATAGCGAATCCTACCAGCTCACATTCGGGCTGGTTTCAAAGATTGGAGGGTAAGCATTCCCATTGCTTATGGGAGCGGCTTGTTAATTGGCATATCATGCTAGGTGTACATTGGCGGTGTAGTATTTTTCGGGATAAACTGCTCGTTTGCATCTATTTCGGCCTTCCTGCCTACTATTATCAAGACTTTCGGTTTCAGTGCGCCTAGGTTTCTCACTGCATCTCGTGCCAGCCTAACGGGATCGTTTAGCAAATGCGCTTGCTCAATTGCTCACCGTCCCGCCTTATGCCGTAGCCGCCATTGTAATGATACTTACGTCTTATACTTCCGATCGGATCCAGAATAGGGGCCTTCTTATGTCCGTCGCAAATGCAGTTTGCGCGATTGGATATTTGTGGGTCGATGGATCGCTTTCCTGCCTCCATAGAGTCTATGCTTCTTACACTATCTGACATTTAGGATTCTATTGGTCGAAAGGACAAATCAACATGTTCGTTACTTCGCTGTGTTTTGTATCACTAGCGGGGTGTTCGCCGCTATTGGGCTCATAATAGCGTGGTGTACGTTCGGAATTCTCTCCTTATAAAGGAATAAACCAGCTCATAAGTGACCTTTAGATGCCCACAATCTTGGTTCGGAAACCAAGCGTGCGACAGGCATTCCTCTGTTCATGGCGATCGGCCAATGCGGGAGTATCCTTGGTTCGCAGATATTTCCGTCAACGGAAGGGCCACTGTACATGTGCGTTTTCTCACCATATTCACCTTTTAACCAATGATGATAGTAATGGCTGATTACAGACGAGGATTCGCTGGTAGGTGGACGTGTTCTGGTACATTAGGATAGCCCTTTCATGCACTTCTATTAGTGACCTGCGGTCTTGAATTTCTTGCTGCCATCTGTTCCTTCGTCTTGTCGGTAAGCTTATAATCGACGAGTATCATCCATCTTACCACTTGACATAATGGGTTGGAAGATTTCATACTTCCTAGATAATCGTCGACGTGATCGCCTCTATGGAAAACCGAAGCCAGATGCAAAGGTCGATACGAGTGAATTAGCCGATAAGGTGTGCCGAAATATTTATTAAATCAGACAAAATCGGATATTAAACGCACAAATTTACGTAGGCACCTATGTTCAGATATGTGCCTTGACGTCGCAGAGGTGAACCTGTAGTTTAGTCGTGCAAATATACGATTGTTGGTCGTAGATTAGCATGATCATCTGTTTACCGCGTGACCGATGGATAAGGCGGCAAAACTCATTGAACACAATCGGAATATATCAACTGACCCAACCATCAGTTTGCTTGGTCAAAAGTATCGTTAAAAAAGCGGAAGAATTGAGATTTTTAAGTTGAATCGGAGCCTGAATCTGTTTGAGTGAGCAGCGGCCCGCGTTGAACACCTGCAACTTTGTCCAAGAGATTCGACGCTAGAATGGCTCTTCCAATTCCTGCCCTGGCTCTTTGTTCACTTGCGAAAAATAACTTAAAAGTATTGATAGAAAGCCTGGGATAATTCTCACTAGATACGATGCGAATAGACCGTTCATGCTTGCTTGTTGGCTTACACGCCCCGTTCTTTTATCGCTATGAGCACCACCAAAAGCAACACAGCCTTTACAAAGGACGGCTCCGAGACAAAACACGAAGCTGTTGTACAGGAGGAACATGTCGTTTTCCACGACAATGTTATTTTCAATGGCGAGGAGAAGAACCAAGTGGTTTCCGACGAACGAAGGCTCGTCCGGAAACTCGACAAGCGCATTCTACCAATCGTCTGCGCAATGTATCTTTTTGCTTGTACGCTACGGCTAGTCGTACCATTTCAAAAGAGCCCACTCAATAACCTTGGCTCTTTTATTCTAACAGTCTTGGATCGAACAAATCCGGGAAATGCACGTCTTCAAGGACTCCCAGAAGATGTCCTCCACGGAGATCGAACGGGAACTCTATACGATTGGATTTTTTCCTCGTATTTCTTTTCATATGTGTGTTCACCTCGACATTATTACCCAACGTGATAAAGACTCAAAACTTTTCGCAGGGTCTATTACAAGTTCCCGCAGTTGTGGCGTCAAAGCTTTTCCCACCTCGACTATGGCTCGGAGTGGCTGGTATCGGATGGGGAACATGTTCGACACTGATGGCTAGTCTCAGCTTCTGCTGTAAAATAAATTTCTAATGAAAATGGACAGTCCACCGGGTTCAACTTCACGGGCCTGATGCTTGCTCGTATTTGCCTCGGAGCATTCGAGACTGGTTTCAGTCCTGGAATTCCTCTTTATTTGTGTCCGTCCTTAAAAGTCCATATACGAATCTCATTTCCTGATTCCTCTCGTCGCAGCCTACTTTTATACCAAACGAGAAATCGGTCTACGCTTAGCATACTACCAAAGTTTTGCTGCAGCCTCTGGCGCATTGGGTGGACTAATTGCATTCGGAATCCAACATGCTCGCGCAACCGTTGCAAGCTGGCGCCTTCTGTTCATTGTCGAGGCAAGCTATCCTTTTCGGCTAATTATTACGGGTATTCACGGTCTTTGGCATGCAGGGAATACCCTCGGTGCTAATGGGAGTCATAGCCTTGTTTTTCCTACCCGACAGACCGGAGATGACACGATTCTTCAATGACACCGAAAGAAAGATCGCAATGGACCGTAGGAATCGGGCCATTAGTAGTGACAATGGTTTTGTGATAAATAAGAGTACGCATATATTCCTTTCCTTTCCTTCGTCGGTCGGAATGTTAAGTGGTATTGACCGCTTAGCGCATATCTGGGCTGCTTTGAAGGACTGGAGAGTATGTTCCTTCTTATGTTAATCTAACAGAGCTGACTATTTGCAATCTATCTCGTGCAGGTGTATATCGGTGGTGTGGTTTATTTCGGCCTTAACTGTGCTGTTACATCAATTTCCGCTTTTCTGCCTACCATCATCAAAACGTTCGGAGTCTGTGAGCTTCTAGTCAAATTCATTTAGTTAGTATTTACGATTAACGATTGCGGTGATGAAGCGGACGCGGTCGCTCAATTACTAACGGTCCCACCTTACGCTGTTGCAGTGGTCTTACTGATCCTTATGTGCTATGTTTCTGATCGCACCCAGCATAGAGGGCTTTTCTTGTCTGCGGCAAGTGCCCTTAGCGCAATCGGATTTCTGTGAGTGAAGTAGCCGGTCCCACTATTCTTTACTGGTCTAAAATGAGGCTGTTTCGACAACTTCAGGATTCTTCTGATAGTCCGGACGGACAAGCGCGTGCGCTATTTCGCTGTCTTCTGCATCACTGCTGGGACGCACGCGGCGATTGGGATCATCCTGGCATGGTGTTCGCATGCTTCCGACGCCCTTAGCTGAACGGCAACTAATCATGATCTTGTTCTCAGACGCTCACAACCTGGGTTCAGAGACAAAACGTGCAACAGGCATGCCGATGTTTATGACGGCAGGACAGTGTGGAAGCATACTCGGATCGCATATATTCCCTTCTACGGAAGGGCCTGAGTACATGTGCGTTGCCGTGTTCTTGCACTTTTCATGTGCTGAGATTGTCTACATCTACAGAAAAGGATTTGCCGGTGAGCTGAAACTTGCATATGTACATTGAAGTAACTAAATCTGATTCTCGGGTAACTGCATAATTTGAGTGACTGGCGCACTCGAACTCGTTTCGGTCCTGGGTACACTCATTCTATCAGTGAGCCGCTATATTAAGAGGACCCGCGGGACGCTGACTGCTGTGGCATTCAGTACTCATACTTCTCGGACAATCGCCGTCGCGATCAGCTGCACGGGATACCAGAGCCTGAGGAAAGGGTAGATACGAGCGAGCTGGCTGATAAAGTGCGTTAGACATAATATTTTGGCGGCTGTTCACTAACTTTGCATCAACAGGCACCAATGTTTAGATACGTGACATGAATGACCATGAATGAATTCGTACAGCGTATGGGCTACATTCAGTGTATGAATTGAGCTTAGCTCAATATGTATGAATTGGGTTATCTTCCGCAGAGCGATGCGTCTGAGCAAGAGGCGGCACCCGTGGTAACTGTGGCTTCACCGGAGCAAACATGATTCTCGCGTATGTTGAGTAGGCCTATGCATGCGAGGGAACGTCAATTAGAGTGGGATCAGCGTTCGCATGTAAACTTTATTGTTCACTGAAGATCAGCCAAGGGAAATCCAATACCTTAGGTGACTTTTCTCTGGAACCTGCATCTGGACATGGTGCAATCAATGTCTTCTTAAGAGATCAACCAGATTATTGTTGGCCTGTTGGCGCGCACAATCTCGGATCGGAGACAAAGCACGCAACAAGTATTCCACTGTTCATGACCATCTGCCAATATAGGAGTATCCTCGGTTCACAGGTATTCCCGTCGACAGAAGGCCCACTATGCATGTGCGTTCTTTCACCATATTCCCCTCACTAGTTATGATCAACGTGCTCTCCGATTACAGGCGAGGGTTCGCTGGTAGGTGGGCGTGTGATGATGCAGTAGGATAGCCCTACACGCACTCGTTTTTATTTTATAGTGACCCGTGGACTTGAATTCCTTACCACCTTCCGTGCCTTCGTCTTGTCGGTAAGCTTGAGTAGTATTCTCCGTCTGACCAATTGATATAATGGGTTCGAAGATTTCATACCTCATAATCGTCGACGTGATCACCTCTACGGAAAATCGGCCAATGAGGTGCGTAGGAGCTCCTTAGTAAACCGGCACTTCTGAGATATGCTTGGCGGCCGCGATTAAGCATGATCACCTGTTTACCGTGTGACCTAAGGATATGGCAGCAGACTCCATTGAACATAAATTGAGTATACCAACTGAGTCAACCATTAGTCTGCATGTCTGAAGGAAGTATCATCAAAAAGGTGACCAGGGAAAAAATTAAACCGGAGCTTGAATTGATTGGTGATTACTGCCGGCCCGCGTTGGTTTAATACTTAGTCCAAGAGGTTCGACCTTCTAATTCCTCTCCTGGTTGTTTGTTACCCTGTAAAAATAACTCAGACACATTGGTAGGAAGCCTGGTATACTTCTCACTTACTAACACGATGCGAATAGACCGATCATGCTTGCTTGTTGGCTTACACGACTCGTTCTCTTACTGCTATGAGCACCACCGAAAGCAACACAGGCTTTGCAAAGGGCTTCGAGACGAAAGAAGTGGCCATTATAGAGGAGGAGATTGTCGCTTATCACGATAACGTTGTTTTCAATTGCGATGAGAAGAACCAAGAGGTCTCTGACGAACGACGGCTCGTCCGAAAACTCGATAGGTGTATACTACCGATCGTTTGCTTAATGTATCTCTTCACCTGTATGCTCAGATTAACCTAAGTACTTAGCCTGTTAACAAGCTCGAATCTCTTATTATGACAGTTTTGGATCGAGCAAATCCAGGAAATGCACGACTTCAAGGACTCCCAGAAGATGTTCTCCACGGAGATCGAACGGGAACTCTATACGATTGGATTTTTTCCTCGTATTTCTTTTCATATGTGCGTTCACCTTGGCATCATTATCTAGCATGGAAAAGACTCAAAGCTTTTTTACAGGGTCTGTTCCAGATTCCCGCAGTTGTGGTATCAAAGCTTTTCCCACCTCGACTATGGCTCGGAGTGGCTGGTATTGGATGCGGAATATGTTCGACGCTGATGGCTAGTCTGAGCTTCTGCCGTGTGAAAGTAAATTTCTGATCGAAAATGGATAGTCCACCGGGTTCAGCTTCACGGGTCTCATGGTTGCTCGTGTTTTCCTCGGAGCTTTCGAGACTGGTTTCAGTCCTGCGATTCCTCTTTATTTGTGTCCGTCTTCGAAATTCCAGGTACAATCTTCATATGCTGACCTTCTTTCACCACAGCCTACTTCTATACCAAACGAGAAATTGGTCTACGTTTTGCATACTACCAAAGTTTTCCTGCAGCCTCGGGCGCATTTGGAGGACTGATTGCATTCGGAATCCAACGTGCTCGCACTACTATTGCAAGCTGGCGCCTTCTGTTCATCGTCGAGGCAAGTTATCATTTCCACCTAATGAGCGCTTGTATTCACGATCTTTGGTACGCAGGGGATACCATCGGTGCTAATGGGAATCATAGCCTTGTTTTTCCTACCTGACAGGCCAGAGATGACACGGTTCCTCAGCGACACTGAAAGAAAGATCGCAATGGAGCGAAGGAATCGGGCCACCAGCAGTGACGATGGTTTCGTAATTAACAAGAGTATGCATATTTTCTATTCCCTCGCTTCATGGGTCGGAATGTTAAGTGGTATTGACCGCTTAGCGCATATTTGGGCTGCTTTGAAGGACTGGAGAGTATGCATCTCCCTACGTTAATCTGGCGGCACAGACCATTTGTAATCTATCTCGTGCAGGTGTATATTGGTGGTGTGGTTTATTTCGGCTTTAACTGTGCTGTTACGTCGACTTCCGCTTTTCTGCCTACCATCATCAAAACTTTCGGAGTTTGTGAGCTTTTAGTCAAGTTCATTCACACTTACGATTAACAATCGCAATGATGAAGCGGACGCGGTCGCTCAATTACTAACGGTCCCACCTTACGCTGCCGCAGTTGTCTTACTGATCCTTACGTGCTATGTTTCCGATCGTACCCAGCATAGAGGGCTATTTTTGTCTGCAACAAGTGCACTTGGCGCGATTGGATTTCTGTAAGTGAAATAGCCTGTTCTGCAGTTCTTTATTGGTCTAAAATGAGGCTGCTTCGACAACTTCAGGATTCTTCTGATTGTTCGGATGGACAACCACGTGCGCTACTTTGCCGTCTTCTGCATTACTGCAGGGACGTATACAGCAGTTGGGCTCATCCTAGCATGGTGTTCGCATGCTTCCGACACCCTTAGTTGAGTGGCAACTAACTGTAATCTTGTTTGCAGACGCTCACAATCTGGGTTCGGAGACAAAACGCGCGACAGGGATGCCGATGATCATGACGGCAGGGCAGTGTGGGGCCATACTCGGATCGCATATATTCCCTTCTACGGAAGGGCCTGAGTACATGTGCGTGTCTGCATTTTTGCATTTTTCATGTGCTGAGATCGACTATAGAAAAGGATTTGCTGGTAGGATAAAACTTACATTTATCAAAGTAACAAAAGCTTAGTCATGGGTAAATGCTTAATTTTAGTGACTGGTGCACTCGGAATCGTTTCGGTCTTGGGTACACTCTTTTTATCCGTGAGCCACTATTATTAGAAGATTTGCAGAACGCTGAATACCGTGTCATTTAGTACTCATATTTCTTGGATAATCGCCGTCGCAATCATTTGCACGGCATTCCAGAGCCTGAGGAAAGGGTAGATACGAGCGAGTTAGCTGACAAAGTGTGTTGGACATGTCTTCCCGGGCAGATGTTCACTAACATCGCATTTACAGGCACCGATGTTCAGATACATGATATGAACGGCTATAAGTGAATTTGTATAGGTGGATAGGCTACATTCAGTGTATGCATCGAGGTCAGGTCAACATATATACAGTTGGGTTATCTTCCGCGGGGCGATGCGTGTAATAGGGTTGGTGCCGATGTCCCACTCGACCAAATGGTGGGATTTATTGATCCTCTAAATTACAAACGTCTTCGAAGACGCTGGCTTCTTTGAACTGAGTTCCTGTGGTCGAGACGAATCCAACACAGTATAATGTCAACGCCACTGAGACCATCCGTGATAAGTGTAGTTTCAGTTCCCACTAGAGCAAACTTGATTCCTGTGTATGTTGCATAGGACCATGTATGCAAGGGAACATTAATTGGTGTCGGATTACATGCCCAAAATGTTGTGATTGAGACAAGTCAGCATTGGTGTACTGCACGTAGACCTTATTGTTCATTGATGATCAGTAAGGGAAATTCAATACCAGTCTTTTCAATGCTGATACAATTCCTGACTAGTGTACATGATATTCCCAGTTTGTGATGAGAAGAGTTGAACTCTTGCCTAGTCAAGTGAAGTGTTCTCTCACTAGTTCCTTCTATGCCAAGTTTGATTCTTGCAACTGTTTTTAATGGGAATGTATTATTTTTGACTATAACTCATCAAGCATCTCATGTTGCAGTTGATTTTGCAGTACATTCATCTGAAGCCTGGCTGCATTTTGTATCTGTTCTTGTTTGTGAAGGGTAAAGAGCACTCTTATATTATTAAACATATGTTCAGATTGTATGTTTAGCCTTTATGATTAATAGCTTTAATGTAATGTGTACTACAATGTCACATGCATCTGATGGTAATGATGTAATGTGTACTACAATATTACATGCATCTGATGGTAATGATGTTCTGTCATTCTTTGTATTGTCTGCCATAAGACTGCAAACTAATCTACTCCATTATTAATTTAGCTGTGAAATTTTATGGCTATCCTGACTTGCAGACCATCAGAGTCAATTACATTACAGTAGAAAATACAAATGACACTCTCACCATATCAAGAGATGAAATTTGAAGCACAGTAGCACAAGGCTAGAGAAAAACTTGTTATATGTGTGTACCTTCATATATATAATATGAGGTATGAAATGCCTTTATTATTATACACTTTAGACAAGCAAGCCTTAGGACAAATGGGTGATAAGTTACAAATGATTGTTACCAGAACACCTGTTAAAGGACCTGATACTAGTAGGTGCTCTAATAGTCATGATTTAGAGTCAGTCACTGTAATAGGTAGGAGAATATAATTAGTTCTACTGTTTTTTAACATGCTAATATTGTTAATAGTTAAAAACACAGAAACTGGTGATGAATTTTTGAAAAGTAGTAGTGATCACCCCTTTTGAGTTTGGGAAGATATCCAATCACAGCTTGATATACAAATACAGGTAGGTATAAAGAGTGACTACACAATCTGTTTTGAAAAATAATCTGAATTGTCAAAATTCCAGAGTTTAAAAATCAATTAAAACTGTCCTGTATTCTGTAGAATATACATATTATAAATAACACTGAAAATGCTTGAGAAACCTCAATACTATACAATACATGAAATTATTGTTCATTAGGCTACTGCCTTTTATTTGATGGCTCTGAAACCTTGTAAAGAGGATAGAGAGTAGTAAGGTTACTATTAGGAAAGAGTTACATGTAGAGAGATTGACATTCTAGACTATCCAGGAAGAGGAAGAATGACAGTATGTGTGATGTTTGACAAACTTAAGTAAAATAAAAATAAAAATGAGTGGATGGACAATGTGGCTGAGTGCTTCTTGTTCCTCTGTCTGTGACATTGATTGTCCACAACTGAATAAATACTGTCTCTCCCTCAACAATGGTAGCACTCATTCCTTCCAATTACTACATATTACTAGCAATCTTAATACACAGAGATGCAACATGCATACCTTTTAACCATACAAGTTCACAACTGTGAATGTTGGAGTAATGATGGGCAGTACAATGTATGGCACACAAGTAACCACAGGCATGTCTGGTACAAATCCTGCAATTGCCTAATAACAAATGGGTCAGTACTAGGTACACTTCCAGAGCATCATATCCCCAAAGCATGTTTCCCATCTGTTCTCAATGATTTCCTTCTCTAATCTCACAATTCTATTAGCAGGCATGAGTACATACCTACAACAGGTACAGGCCATGCTCTTCAAGCTGCAACAACTACTCAATCTAGTGTACTCACTCCTATAGTATTTACTACTTCTACCACTACTACTGGAACAAGAGTTGGAATGTACCCAGCTGTGTTGAGACACAACTGAAGTCATTTCTGGTAGTCAGTACATATACAAGTGCAGCTGAAGGTCCTGCTAGACCCAGCAGACTAGTGGGCAAACATGTTGTCAGATATTTCAAGTCTGTGTACAATAGTACAAATACAGGTGCTGGCTTGCCTGTTAATGTCATTCCAGTGCCTACAGTGCAAGGTACAAGGGGATGGTGTATAAGTATTATGACTATTTGTATGGTTTATGAAGTGGAGAGAGAGCTGACAAGGAATAGGAATGTGGATGTAAATGTGGAAGACCCTTTCAAGTTTCTAATTCAGCTTTGGTAATTCTGACAAATGTTCTGCACAACAGTTTCCCATCTTTCAGCTGTCCTACAGTTTTCATACCCAAGGGCTGCATGAACACTGTATCATCAATACCTGTTGTTCAATAGTAGCTACTGTAAGAGTATAGCCACTTACATACATTATTCCTATCCATTACAGTATACCACTCATCCACATCATCACCATCTCTCATCTTCTATGTATCCTTGTCACACTACACTGTACATTGTGCACTCCACACAAACTAGTGTCCATCAATGAAAATTATTCCATTGTGAAGGCTTACAAGCAAGCTGGCCAACAAAGTGTGTTGGAGTTGTCAAACTGGCATCAGTTCACTAACATTGTATCCACAGACACCAACGTTTAGATACGTGACACAAATAAATATAAGTGAATTTGCATAGTGGACAGGCAATACCTAGTATGTGCCCTGAGCTTGGGTCATTATTTATGGAGTTGGGTTATCTTCTGTAGAGCGATATGTCTGGCCAGGTTGATGGCAATGCCCTTCAAGTAGCTTGAATTATTACTCAAAAGGCAAATACATCGAGAGAGGGTCACCGCCACAAAAGCTCTGGACCTGAAATGCTGTAGCATTCCCTCGCTTGTCGGATTGCAAACCTGTCTGAAGGATTTGGCTCCTTTGAATCGAACACCTGTGGCCCAGAGTCCAGACAACTCCTGCACCATGATATCAACGCCACTGCAACCACCCGTGATAAGTGTAGCTCCAGTTCCCACTGGAGCAAACTTGCCACTCGTACATGTTGCATAGGCTCATATGTTGGACACACGTAAAACATTCCTCAATTAGCATAAGATGAGATTCTGTACGTTTCATATCCTGAGATGGTTCAGTGTAGTTATTTTCCAAGTACAAGTAAAGTGAACTTATTACTCACTGGTGACCAGCCAAGGAATTCAATACTGTATAGTCCCTACGCTTAGGAGTATTGCAATATCATTTTCTTTGTTTATGTTGCAATTTATCTCCATTGAATCAAATGCTGCAGCTCAGACAATTCCTAAATAATGTACTACTGACGCCACTGAAAACACACTAGGATGAGGATGGAATCGTCATATACAAGAATTACTTGACATTAGTGCAGAACAGTGTGTATGATCAATTGATTAATTACAACCCCTTCATGCGAGTGTAAATGGGTTTCTACAGAGCAAAGATATCATGGTCTACTTTCCTCAGTTGTGATGGGAAGAGTCGAACTTTACCCTAATTGAGTGGGATGTTATTCTTAGTAGTACAGCCTTGTGTCGAGTTCAATACTTGTTTGCTGTTTTTGATGGGAATGTATGTTTTGGTCAGAATTCATCAAACGCATCTAATATTGTGATTGATGCACACTAGTAGCACTACTGTACTTTTATCTGGAACTTGCTTAGGTTTTGTACTTATTCTCGTTGATAGAGTGTACGAGGCTCTCTTTCTGGTTATTTTCAGCTGGAAATGGAAACGTTTCGGCCATGATGTGATTTAGGCAAACATTCCCTACCACAATATAAAGGATATGATCGGATCACTGTTTAGTTATTTTCATGAAATAGTTTTGATGTGATGTATACTAATAATAATATATCAGCTGCTTCTGATGGCAATGATATTCTGTCAGACATTACATGTCAGGTATGAGGTTGCAAAGCTGTCTACTTCAGTATAAAATGGCTGTGAAATTCCCGAGTTATTTTCCATATCAATTAAGAACAGTTGTGGAACTTTAGGACTATTCTAACTTACAAGCTATCAAGGTTAGTTACATATTAGTAGAATTTGAAAAGCATGTCAAGAAGAAGGGAAAGTTATCTTGCACAACAAAAGCTACTCACAAGTGCTGCACTTAAAGACTGTATGTGTCCTTTAGTTTACATAATCTATAAGTGATTGACAGTCTTGAATATACTTTACATTTCAGATAAGAAAACTGTCTTGAATGATGAGAGTAATAAAGATATAAAGATTATAGTCACCAAGGTTCCTTTACAAGGACCTGGCATGGCAGGCAAAGAAGAAATTAAGTTAATAGGTAAGAAATACAAGTACTAGTATTTCTAAACAATAATTGAATACTAAAACATTACTAATAGTTAAAAATACTGGAAATGATCAAGAACTGATAACAAGTGACAGTGGAATAACAGATACTTACCAGGCCTGGCAGAATCTTCAGCAGAAGCTGGAATCAGCATAATGTAAGAATCTTTTCTTCTCTTATTTTTCTACTATCTGAGCATTATCTAACTATATTTATATAGGATAAGTATAAGATGGTTAACTGAATAACAAACTGGCTAAAGAGAAACTGATTTTAGTACTATTTGTTAAACATTAGTACTCTCCTGTCTGGTATTTAAATTAGTATGTTCTTAATAATAGTCAGGTCATTACTAATTTACAATTAAATACATTAAAGAGCTAAGAAAGTTGATTACTATAAGACTGTGACTGTCCTCTTATAATATGCATCATTAATTAGATACATTAAATACAATTGAATAAGTGCTTTCAGTTTACAGGCATGAATATATACTGCTTGTACAGCTAATTTGATTAAATGAGAGTAATAACTCAATAAAAATTTGGAGGTAAAGACTGAGTACATTAGTTCAAATGAAGTTTATCACTGTTTGACCATGTAGATACGTTCTGTATTAATTATAGGGTAAATTAGCTGAAAAGGGCGTGTAAATAATACTGTAAAGATGATAACTTATGATTCTGAGTCATTTATCCAGACTCTCCTTGACATTGTATATTCAACAAACTCTACATTACAAGTGCTCCCAGTACTCTCTTTCTGTGATGTTACAGTAATTGTCTACAGACAAATAATTATTTCCCCTTCCTGAACGATTCAATTCCCGATTTTCACTCCTCCAAATGACTTCATAGTATCAGTAATTCCAAGTGCCTACACACATCTGTATGTGCAAGTGCACACAACCTTATAACTGTGAATTCCTGAGCAATGATGGGTAGTAATACAGGAGGTTTTGATGTACAGAATAGGAATCACTGCAGGCATGGCTGGTACAAATCCTGTAATACCCCAACAATAAACAACTCAGTTCTATACTCCTGGAGTACTGTATTCCTAGTGTATACTTCTTACAGTAGGTATTAGTGTACAGAGCAAAGATATTACTATGTACATAATGTTGATTCCCTAGTTGTGATTGGAAGATTCGATCTTTTGCCTAATCGAACAAAGTGTTATCATCCGTTAGGTTTTCTCTTCGTCAAGTTCAATCCTTAATGGTTGTTCTTGATTCGGATGTACATTTGTGGCTGAAACTCGTCAAATATGTCCAACGTTGTGATTGAGGTAAGGCATACTGTAGTGCATTTACATGAAGTATGGTTAGGTTATATATTTATTCTTGTTTATAAAGAGTAAAGTGCTCTCTCTTTAGTTATTTTCGGAAGAGAACTAAAAATCTCAGCCATGAAGTAGTTGTGTAAATGAAGGTCACCATTCTCTATTACTATCAAACGTACTATATTCGGATTGCACATTAAGTAACAATGATTGATAGCTCCGATGAGACGAAAACCATGACAACAGCTGTATCTGATGGTAGTAACGTTCTGCTGTTCTGTACATGTCTGCCATCAGATTGCAAAGTAGTCTACTCTAGTATAAAATAGCTGTGAAATTTCTGCATTATTTTCTTATCAACAAAGAACAGCTGCAAACTTCAGGACTACTTCAACTCACGGGGTATTAATATTAATCACATTACTGTAGGAAAATACAAAGAATGGGAAGAAGAGACAGCTATATTGTACAAGGACAGATCAATGCCAAACAAAAACTTGCTGCATGTATGTACCATTATATACATACATATATAAAATACATGGCATGGCCGGTTTTCATAATTGTGCGCTTTAGACAAGAAGGCCTTAGGACGAGAAGGTGATGAAAAAATACAAATGACTACTACAAGTGCACCTGTTGCAGGACCTGAAAAGAATGGTGCACAGATGATTACTATAACAGGTAGGAGAATATAATTTAGCCCTACCATTTCGAGATATGCCAACATTATTGATAGTTAAAGACGGTGACGAAATTTTATTGAGTAGCAGCAGTGAAAGTACTGCTCAGGTTTGGACTGATATTCAAACGAAGCTTCAATCAGAAATCGGTAAGATTTTTACTCTGGGCTCCCTCTTTCTTATTTTATTAATAAATAATGACTCCATCCTTATTGCTGATTCATGCCATTTAGATAGCCGCAAGTAAAAAGATAGCCAACTGGTTAGAATTAGTTTGGTCGAACAATGCATTTGATAGACATTAGTGCAGTGCTTTCTTGTGCTTAGTATTAGTGCAATCTATTATCCGCATCATCAATGATCATACTGCGTTGTTGGCTAAATATAGTACAGTTATGAAAATTACGGTCATAGTCCATAGCGATGTACCTGACATTGAGGAGCCTAAACTATAACTATGACATTTCGAGTGTCGTGCCAGCCAAGGACAAAAAGGCAAGGAATGAGTAGTCTGCCTTTGTAGAAATGTACAAGACAAAATCAATGTCACGTGCCCGGGAACTCGACCTCCTCACTCCTCTTGCCGTGACGTCGATTGTCCACGGCTGAATAAATACCGAACTCTTGCTCAACAATGGCTGGCTTTCTCTCCAACAACAAATGGCTGCATACTATCAACAATCTCAACTCGCCACTCCTCATCGCGCGTACCTGCCTACTTCCGCAGGTGCAATACCCTACAACCCCGCAGCCGTGAATTCTGGAGCAATGATGGGTAGCAGCACGGGTAGTACAATGTACGGCACAGGAATGACGACAGGTATGGCTGGTACAAATCCTGCAATTGCCCAGCAACAAATGGGTCAATACTACGCGCCTGGAATGTCGTATCCGCAAGGTAGGCTTCCCATTCGTTCTCGATGTCTTCTTTCTCTCATCTCACAGTGCATTTAGCAAGCATGGGTGCATACCCACAACAATCACAAGCCATCGCTCCGCAAGCGGTGACGACTACCCAACCCAGTGCATTCGCTCCTATGGCATCCACCGCTTCTACAACTACCGCCGGAGCAGGTGCCGGAATCAATCCTGCTGCGTCACTAGGAGCTGCAAACCCGGCGGCTGCAAACACTGTCGCCGAAGGAGAAGCAGAAGCCGAAACTGAAACAGCAGAAGCAGCAGGTGGTGTAGGTACCTGCTGGGGCTGCTGCGGTCCCGCCGGCGCTCCAGGAGGTGCAGCAGAGGTCGCTGCTGGTGGACCCGTTGGTGCATCCGCATCTGCAGCCCCAGGTCCTACTGGACCAGCTGGACCAGCAGGCGAACGTGTCGTAGAATATTTCAAGTCCGGCTACAATAGTGCTGCTGCTGGTGCGAATACGGGCGCTGGGTTACCTGCAAATATCTTTCCGGCGCCTGCGGCGCGAGGTGGTGCACAGGCGTTATGATAATTCGTATGGGTATGTGAATGTGTTTGTTCGTTCGAATTCTTGGTCGACTATCCTGACTACTGTTTGTTGCACGACAGCTCTTATAACTTTTGGCCGTTCTACAGTTATCATGCCACACGAGCGGTGTGGACATTGCACGTTAATACCCCGTCTTTTATTGAACTAAGTGGAGACTATTCAAAGAGAATTGCTGCACATGCATTGTTACAACGCATCGCTGTATACCATTCATCTATTTCGCTCCAATCTCACATATTCCTTGTATTCTTGTGACAATAGTCTGTCTATAATACACTCCGTGCGATAAATGTCCATGAACAAAAGAAATTTCTCTGAAGGTAGCATGCAATGAGTAGAGCAGTGATTGGCTGCTCAGGCAAGTTCCTCGTACAACAACAGTAGTAATAAAATACTAGTAGTACAACACAAATAGGTACATCGACTTCAAATACATACCAATTACAATCTGAAGTGAAGACATTAACATTAAATTTTCAAAGAATTCGAAGTGCAAAGATGAGGTATGAAAGTTATGATGATGAAATGGATCAAGATTGATGGATGAATTGGTCGGAAGCAGGGATGTAAATGCAAATGGTCAACAAAGAGGTAGGAAATCCAACAGAGAATCCAGAGAACCCATACGAAACTCCAGAAACAAAGCAGAGCAGAGCGACGTCAGCAACATCCATCATCTCGATGCCTATGTCTGTGTCGTCGTCCATAATAACTCGCCCTGTACCACACAGTGCCATCAGTCCTCTCGCTATCATGCAAGTATTACAACTACCACTCACCCAGTTCCACAACAACCAGACCCACAACACCCATCATCCCTCTGATACCCATACGCATTGTATCTATCATCTCCACAACATCCACAACACCCATCATCCATATTTCCATACCCATACCCATAATACTGTGATCCATAACTCCGTCCTCGGTACAGCCTAGACAGTCTCTGTCGCGGAGATAAATAACTATACGCCATCGGCGCTGTATATTGCGGTTGAGCATAGGTCACCACCTGTCCCGCTACACCCGCTATAATAAATAAAAATAAAAATCGAAGCATTTCTCAGTATACTATTATTTAAAAAAAAAATACGAACAGATAGATGAACAGATGGCACGCACGTTGGTAATACCCTGTACTCGGTGCATAATACCCATACGCTCCGGGGCTTGCGATACCACCGGTATACTCATTATACGGTCTGACACTTCCGCCATATTCCGAGCCACCATAAACTGACCCGCGACCGAAATATCCTGACCCGCGCCGTGAGTTCCAAGGGTAGTAGGATCGCGGGGGAGAAGCGACGGGTGAAGTTTGGTAGTATACGGACATGCAGATGGGTCGGAGGTAGTTGAAAGGGTTAAAGGTTTGGAGGGTAGGGGTAAGGGTAGGAGGTGACGATTATTTCGTCGAATCGTCGATCAATGGTAATCGGTCGCAGACTCGCAGGGATGAAGTCGAAGTCACGACCACAGATACGAAACACGATAGCTAAATACAGTATCCCCCCGCTCGAGAGATCGGAAGGTTGAGTAATCGCAAGTGGAGTCGGTCACCGGTCAGATGCCACTCAGCCCGCCTTGTCCGTCTCGTCAGTCGTGTCGTGACTCTCTCTTACTCTCTGTCTCTCTGCTCGAGGCTCGAGGATGGAAACCGCAAGTCGCAAGCAGACCTCGATCGCGTGGAAGTGTGTGTGTGTAAACGTTCACCAGACAGACACTCACTCAGCCTCGCCGTTTCGCGCAGGCGGAAGAATCAGGAAGTAAACCGGAACCAGAAAGCAAAAGCCACGGGTGTTACCTTCTATCGTTTCATTTCCCATTCCCTCCCGCTGCTGCTGCGCGTGTGGAGCTCAAGTAAGAAACAAGAGTCATGCGCCGACCCGGTCTCCCAGTCTCTGTACGGTCCCAAATACACTATAATATGAATGTATGTCAGTCTATGGTACTAGTATGTATCGACGATTGTATAATAGACGGTCTTCGGCGCGAAAACGAGGCGCATGAGCACGAGACGAGCACGAGACAAGACAAGACCAATCAACCCAGTAAACCGACCAAGAATGAATTAGAGGGCCATACTTCCGTAGCTTCTATAGACCTGAAAGCAAGACCCGTGCCAGACGGTCAGATGCTCTGCTCATCGGTTCCTCTCTTGGAGAGTTCAAATAGTCCAATACAGTCCAATCCAAAGCAAATCCCGAGTCAACATAAAAAAAGTCGCCGAAGTACCTCGCCGAAATAATGATGTCAGATACAAAGCGCCCTTCGTTTGACTGGTGACAGATGGGTCCTAAAAGCGATGCACCCATTACTATTGCATCGGGGATAAACCAGAGCAAAAACGCTAGAGAATCACAAGCCAAAGCCTGTCTACTGAATCCGACGCCCGTTCGTCAGAGCGTCCCGGAATCGAATTCCGAGTCCCGAGTCCCGACTTCTTCCCTTCATCCTGAGCGAGTCATTTCAAGGCCAAGAGATGCTAACTTTCGGTGAGAGTGAGAGTAAGAAATAAGAAGTGGGAGGTGAGCGAGTAGTAGTTACTACTCCCGGACATGGAGGTTCTGAATACAAAAGCTCTGTGTTCGAACGGGGCTCGTTATTACAATTTACTGGACTGGACTGGAGCAATCAATTATTCAATAGACGCGTCTTTCCTGTCTCAGTCAAGTGTGCTCCTTACACGTAAAGGAAATGTCCTTATGCCTATGTTGCAGAGTTCAAGCCAATTATAAGAGAGCAACATGCAAACTAAACGTGAAAAACAAAACCAGAGGCAAAGGTACCACGTCCGAGTCGAAAATGAACCCAAAGAAAGAAGAAAACGTTGTATATATACTGTAATATATAAATTAAAAGCATAATAATTTAAACAGGTACACTAAAAAGAAATTTGAAAAATGAAACAGTCCTATCACAACTTAGCAAGCTATATCATAAACATTATGCGATATCATACCACTCTGTAATAACAAGAAAAAATGACGTCTAGAGACTTAACTACTACAATCTTTAATACAAGGTATAACTTTCCTTCTTCTTCTTCTTCTTCTTCTAATAAGTATCTGTCTTCTGTTTTCGTTTCCTCCAATCGGGTTATCTTGTCTTCTACTTTGTATACGGTTGAACGGATGGATGAATGGAATCAATGGAAAGACGCGTATTGGATGCGCGATGCAAGATGATGCGGAGCGAATTTAAAGCGGCGAAAGAACCTCTTTACGGGGTAACGCGGGGTGAACGGGAGAGGAGGGAAGAAAGGGAAGAGAGGGAAGAGAGGAGAGGGTGCATGAGGGAAATAACGTGGACTTAAAGAAATGAGATCGAGTTCAAGGAATTCAAGAAGTTAAGGAAAGTGGGACGCCGTCGGATAGCCAATCGCCAAATCGAATCGAGTTGAATCGATGAGTCCTGTTTACACACCACTCTCCGGGTTTCCCAACCTGTCTCCTCATCACGTATCACGACCTTCCCCCTTTTTCAGCTAATTAACTCTGTGTCGCAATCCTAACCTCCTCAAACAAACTAACCACACTCAACGCCACGGTCTCCCGACTCGCAATCGTCATTAACCCCGGTACGCCACTCGCTTTTTCGAGCGCTATGGGTTGTCTCGAATCTCTCCTACTTGAATCTCGCCTTTCTCTCCTCTCGCTTGTGTTTTTTTGATCTGTTTTGTCTGTTTTCTCGGATTTGTTCCCCTCTGCGTTCGTATTTGCATCGGTTGTGGCGGAAGGCGACGGTGAAGAGGAGGAGGGGTTAGAAGACGAAGACGGGCTAGAGGAGGGTTCAGAGGAAGCGTTAGAGGGGGCGGAGGGGGTAGGGGACAACGTGGCGGCGGTAGCGGCGTATCGGATCTATCCATCCATAATGACAATAGGAGTTCAGAAGTTAGAAGTCAGAAGTCAGGTGTTAGTGAGAAATGAGAAATGAGAAATGAAGAACACATGAGCGGGGTTAAATGAAGTCGAAGCCAAAATCAGAAGAAGGGGAGAGGGAAAACGTTGCGGAAGCAAGGGCGGGAAATGAATGAATGACTCACATGTACCCTGAAGCTGCCGTCACTCCTATGTTTTGGACCACAAATTGAGCTTGTCCATCTATCAATCAGGAATGTAATTTGCCCATTGTCAGAATAAGTGGTCAGAAAGAAGAAAAATAAATAAATAATGAAACGTACTGCTCATCAACAAGCACATTCGCAAGCAACGGACTGGCATGCTCAAGCAAAGCCAGCCGACTCGCTCTCAAAAGCTTCTCAACATCCACACCATCCAAGCAAACAAACTCCTCTTGAATCTCCAGCCTCGCCAACTTCCTCATCACCTCTGGTACCAACCCACCATGTGCATTAAGCAAGGAAGAATGCGTTTGGGGTTCGTCACCTGAGGAGGAGTCGATGTGATGCGCCTTGACCTTCTTTTGGACGCGTCGAAGCTTGACGAATATTTTTGCGACGTGCGGGAAGGTCAGGTGGTGATGGAAGCCTCCTGAAGAAGACGTTGAGGTCGACGTTTTTGACACTTGCGGCGGCGAGGCAGCAGTAGCAGTTCCCGCAGCGTTGTTCTCCTCTGGATCAGAGTCCCCGTCGGACTTGTCATTCATCGACGGAGCGGAGACAGTGCGGCGTTGTTTCGGTGCAGCACCACCAGGATGAGGCTCGCCGCTGCTAGACTCGCCACTATCACCAGTAGTAGTATCAGTCGCATTGAAATCAGCAGTACTGGCATGTCGTCTGGATGCGATGATATTGACGACAGCTTTTGGCGGGGAGAGACCCAGGTGGGGGAACCGTCTACGTCCGAAGGACGAAGCTGCTGTCTGTGTTTGAGTGGCGGTGGACATGATGATGGCAGGAGACAAGAGACAAGAGACAGACAGACAGAGCAAAGTAGGACTAGAGGAGGAGGAGGAGGAGGAGATGAACACGTTAGCCGCTTGCCCTTTTATTGCCACACGTGACTTGCATTTGCTTAAGTCCATTCGTCCGCCGGCAAAGCTTTTTGTCTCTCTTAACGGTTGTCCACCTCCTGTGTTGGTTTCATATCCCGTCGCTGGACAGTCAGGTCAATCGTACTACCGTTGTTACCCCCGGCTACATCTCCTCGATGCGTAGTCCTCCCTCGTACATCGTTACATTTGTATGATCATCATTCAGAATCTCAGATCCTACCCGTCGTCATCATGATATCAATGCTCCTCTATTCTCGCTTCGGCACACGGTTACACATAGAGCAAACGTGTTGACACGCATGCAAAGAGGGTCGACTAATCGGAAATGGATAGCGACTCCAAACGAGCAAAGTACAGTACATAGTCGGTCCACACTTGACACGCTTCCGCATTTGGTTCCTTCGAAGCGTCAAATAATAATAACAAATATAAATATCAATATTTGGCTCATATAAGGATGTGATGTCCTTGGGGACAAAGGGCTACCAGCCTGCCAAGGCTATAATTTAAAATATTCTTGGCAAGGGCTGCTCCTTGAATTAAGCTTATTAAAGAAGACGATCCGAGACCGAGAACGTTGTTATTCAAAGGCAAGATGAAATATCTTTTGGTAATGGTGATCTTGCAACAGTTTTGTCCGTCTGTAGATGCTTGACCAACTCAAATTGTCAACACACCGGATATGGCGATTTTGGCCATATATATGCAAGATTAATGTAGAAAGTGAGACATATCCAAATGTGTTGTAGGAAGTATGTAAATTGAGACACTATACTATACTAATAGGTTGCCCAGTGCCTCCACCCTACAACAATGATGCCCTCAGCTTCTTACCATATTAAAGATTTCAAACATGCAAAATACATTGAACCTGATCTCAATCTCAAAGAACCAGATAATAGTCTGGCTTGTGCTCTATAAGCTTGTATAGAGGAACTAAGATGAAAGTGTATTATTTTACAAGAAAGTAGTTTAATGTGACAAGTACAGGATGAAGCATGTCCAAGTCTACAAGGATATGACTGTGCTCAAATAAGAACCTAATACAGCTTTCCTCAAATTATGTAGTAAAGGGAGTCATAATTAGGGATGGATATTGTTAGATGATACAGATAGTACAGTACATTTTATAGCTTAAACTAGAAGAGGCAAATAAGAGTAAGGAGGAGGAGGAGGAGGAGGAGGAGGAGGAGGAGGAGGAGGAGGAGGAGGAAGAGGAAGAGGAAGAGGAAGAGGAAGAGGAAGAGGAAGAGGAAGAGGAAGAGGAAGAGGAAGAGGAAGAGGAAGAGGAAGAGGAAGAGGAAGAGGAAGAGGAAGAGGAAGAGGAAGAGGAAGAGGAAGAGGAAGAGGAAGAGGAAGAGGAAGAGGATATTAACTTGGATCTACAGTACAATCCCTTTAAGACTAATCTCTAACCATCAGAAGAGGTGCCCTGTGTAGTAGTGTCTAAAGGACCTAGTATTAGTACATATGTCCACTTATACTGTCCTGTTTTGTTTGTGTTAACCACAACCTCAGGAAAAAGTCTATTTATAGTCTACATTCTTACACTGTACCTCCTTACTTATTAACCTACTATATAGTAGGAAAAATTGGATCAGGTACTTGTGTTTGTTAATAAAGGAGTTTACTCAGCTCTATTGTACAAGGATCTGTCACTTTACATTCCTAAGAGTGCTCTCTAACTATCCAATTCTAGTCTGGATAGCTTATGTTCTAACTATTACTTTATTAACAACCTAGTCATATTAAAGGGAGTCAAACTTTTGCATTTTACATACTACTGTAAGGAAAACATTACATGGCTCAACAAGTGTCCATTTATATATACAAGAGTGTATATAGAGCAGTGTACTCTAGAAGATCTTATCTGTTAGTACATTGTGTCTTACTTTTACTCTTTTTGTGTGAGTGGGTGAATTAATGAGCATTTGGCATCCAAGATCTCTAGTACAATACAATCTCAGAACAACAGATTAAGGAGTTTGTTGAGCTCTATAGTCTATTACTACTTAATACACACAAATACACAAGCAATTTGGCAGAGTTAGAGAAGAGGATCAAGAACAAGGTCATGTCCCTTACTGAACAGTCACTATCTAACACTATTAGTCAAGTATCTAGTATTGTACTAGTATTAGAAGTGGAGGCACACACTTTACATAATATATTCTGTATCAAACCAGAGTCTACAAATGCAAATGATTACATAATAACAATACACACTGTGACACAAGACATATCTATGAAATGATCCTTCAGTGTTTCAAGGAACTTGAGTTACAAGCTGTTCAAGTTGTTAGACTATTGTATCCAGCTGTATGACTGCAACTGTAACACTAACACTGGCTCAGTTTCATTACCACAAATAATATGTAATATGAACTAGTTGTACTTATCTTAGTCTTATATAGTAGTGCTACAAAATAAATTTCATTACTGTATGAAAACAACAGTAAATAATGGATATTTTTAAAGTAAAAACAAGTACAGAGTAAGTTATGTTAGTACAGTTTACTCTACTTCATCCAATTTAATTTTTTGGTTCTATCTACTACAGTTAGAGTTGTGTGCATAGTAGTATGTATATATGTTTGTAAGATAAATGTATTAGTCTCTTAGTTGCTGTTGTGGTCATACAGCTGGATATGGTATACAAGGTGTTTTGTGTAAATGAGTTGTCAAGAGCTTGTGTCAGCTTCATTTTTGAGGACTGGGTTATTGACAGACTTCCTAAAGGCAGTAAATGGTGCTTAGAATCTGGATACTATACTAGAGGTTGTAACAGAATTGATGAATACAAAACATTTGTGTTAGTGTGATGTTATGAATAGTAATACCTATTATTTCACACATAGGACATTATGATACAGTGACCTTGACAGATAAGCATGTTGGTAGTGGTCAGCATTTTGATACTGTTAGTATGTTCCCTTATACCTTCAGTAGCACTGAGTTAGAAGCACTGCCAGAGACAGATGGAATTGGCTTACCAGTAAAGGGGAATCAGCCAACTGACAACTTGTTATTCATTTGGCTTGCTAGAGAGAAGCAAGCCATTATGGTCAAATTGACTGTATCTTCAAGTCAGATAATTGCTAGGGAGGGTCTGAAACAGCTGAAGATAGCTAGTGTAGAACACCTTAAACTTATTGTGGTAACACCTGTGCTGAGAAGTAAAGAGACTATAGAGGTTTATAGAGAAGACAAACATACATCAGGAAAAAGTCTAAATTCTTGTATTACCTTATAATGGTATAAAATAAGTGAAAAAAGTAAAAAAAGTAAAAACACTTAGAACAGATCTTGGTTTCTGAGAAAGTGATACAAGACATTATAAAGTCTGGAAGGTTTGTGTATTTTGTAAACATAAATAAGAGTTATTCTCCTTGACAATATATAAAATGTATTACAATGGATCTCTAAAATTACAAGGTTAAATCACCCTTGTTGAGTATGGCAAATATTATAATTGTTTATAAAGCTCTTAAATCATTTTAATATCTTAATAATAGTTATTTTCCCTTACATCTGTTTGTTATTGAAATAACAGTTTATAATTATATTGAAACATTATATAAATACATTATATCTACAACAATTAGGGGTGAGACAGTTTGTGAGATTGATTGGCTAAGAGTGTGGGTGTGAGCATTGTCAGTGTGAGTGGGTAACTGGATTGAGGAGATGGATGAACTGTAATGGTGTGTAGCAAGTGTGAGTGGTGCACTGGGGTTGAGATCCAGAGCATTGAATGAGCTAATTTGAGCCGCATCTGTACGTGCACACTGTATACTCTGACTACGTCTCGCAATCAGAGGTGCGGTGAACTGAACCGTTGACTGAGGGGTGTATTCCCGGGGCGTTCTGGCCTAAAGGGAGAGCTGCGCCTGTGAGACAGGTTTAGGGTGATTAGCGAGTGGCAACAAGCAAGAAAAGATGGACGCACCGTGGCGGCGTGCAGCGAGTGTGAGTGGTGCATGCAGATCGAGATGCGGAGCGTTGGACGAGCTGATTCAGACTGCAGACGAAATCCTGTCTGTGCGCGTGCGCTCTATTGTCTATCTATGGCGTCCAATGGGGGGTGCAGTAAACTGAGTCATTGATTGCAAGGTGTATCTCCGGGACGTTCTGGCTTGAAGGGAGAAGGCAATGTACAAAGTGTGGACGGACTCGGCTCAGGAGGGGTGAGCAGTGGCCACTGCTTCCGTTATTCGAAATGGTGTCATGGACGGCACTGGGGAATGTAAAGGCACGCGGTGTGAGTCCATCGAGGATGTCAAGCATAGAATGGTGGGTAGGGAAGGAGAGTACGCACGGGGTCGGAGAGAGGATTGTGCCTTGGGAGTGATCCGACATGGACATTGTTGCGAGCGTGCTCGCATGTGCTCGTCGATTGTTGCTTGCGCTGCAGAGCAGGAAGAAGAACGTGAATACATGGAATTATTGAAGAACTCGTTCGGCATTGGTCAACAATGTGGAAGTGCGAATGCGAATGCAAAAAGGAAGGCGAGCATAAAACAAGAAGGACAACAGAGGAGAGGCAACGCAAGCGGCGGAGCAAGGAGTGGGAGGGATGGGAGGGATGAAAGACAAAAAGTTGGGAGGAGAATCCTGGAGATGGATGAGAAACTATTGTGCAGGTTATTGTGAAGTGGACTGGCTGCTTACACTTTATGTTGAAGGACAGTGTAGTCAGCTCAGTAGCATCATCGCGCGATCTGAGGCTCAGCGCGGGCATCGCAACAGCAGATTGGAGAGACAAGTACAGTGATGTTTATTGCCTATGTTGTAGCAGGCAGAGTGCCTGCTGGTAGGATGTTTGCAAGCAGAGGACTTGACTAGAGAGAACAGAAGCGACGACATAGCGTTGGGGGCAGAGGGTTGGGGAGATGGTGAAGGTAGGAGTAAAGGAGTGACGAAGAGAAATGCGTCATTATATGCTCTCGATCTTCAGCAGTTGATTACATAAGCAACTATAATATGAGTCGTCAACTGATAGAACATTTCAATTATTGTATTTAGGTATAAAATAAATAATTGATCTACTTTTTAATATAGTAAAAAGTAATATGACAAGTATATAGCTTTCTAAACACACTTATGTAATTATTACAAGTAGATGAAATAACTTTTACAAATATTGTAAACTATTTGTATAGATAGTCCAAGTATAATATACATATTATATACTTATAGTATACTTTTATTAAGATAATAATGATACAACAAGTGCTCTTACACTATTATATACATTAATATACCTTTTGCATAAATTAGAAGGCAACAACAACAACAACATTATTATTATATTGTAAATATCACCCTTTCTTTAAAATTATAATAAAAATGTAATGCAAGCATAACACTTAGTACTATTATACAAAGTTAGTATAATACTTGTAATAGATTGTATTCATTCATAACACTTACTTAGCCTTTATATACATTGACATGTCTTATACAAACTTTACAATTGATTTACAAGTCTTGTAATTACTTTACAATATACATACAATACTTATGTTACTTTACAAAGTCTAAAATATATTATAAGAAATGTGACTTTTTCCTGATGTTTGTAGCATTCTGGTAACCCATACTGCCGAGAGCAACGATTTCCTCACGTGGCTGGCTGGCTCGCCTGTGTTGGTGGGCACTGGAAGAGGGCGAGCGACGTGGGCAGCAGTGAGAAGGACGACGCGGTCGTCGTCTCTGCTGAGGCGGAAGTAGAGGGCACCGGTTCCTTCGTAGTAGGGCGTCTTGAACGGGGTAATGGAGAGACCTAATGTGGGTGTAAAAGGCTTGCGGAAATCGGGGATGGGGTCGACGAGGGGGTTGAAGGGGAGGAGCTTCAGGCCAGCAGAGTGGGTCACCTCCGACTCGCGAAAAGCGACCTCAATATCGGGGAAGCCGGCTTGACTGAGGATATCCTTGATAGTGATGGCGGCAGCCACTGCATTGTCGAAGACAAGAGTCTTGTGCTTCACGCCGATCCACATAAGGAGCTGACAAAACGGTGCCTTCTCCCCAGCGTTGGCAAAGCCAACAGGGTCGATTGAGGTCCACTTGATGTTATGAGAGTCGAGGAACTTGTAGATGTCCGTACCAATCTTGAGCCAGGAGTCTGCAATAGGGTGGCTGTAGACAGGGCGCGCCTCACGGATGAAGCGCTGCGCTTGCGGACCCGCAGGTTCAGGCCAGGCAGGGCCTGTCTTGTAGATGCAAGGTGCACCACTGGGCATACCGAAGAAGTCTTTATAAGCGGCAGGGTAATGGTTGGTGAGACGGGACGAGTCAGAGACGATGCTGCCCTTGTCGCCCTTATTTCCGAGTTGCAGGCACGACTTGTAGAACTCTTCATCAAGGTTGAAGTCGTTAAGTGCCACTGGGAAGGAATGGTTAGAAACGAGGAAAGATCAGAAAAAAAGCTAAAGGACTTACTTGTGAATCGTTTGTTGTAACAGAGTTGAAAGCAGAGACACAATTAAGAGTTGGGTGAGACACTTGTAGGTTCTGCTGCATAGCGTATTACAGCCACCATCTGACCACCAAGTTGAACGTGAATCCATATTTGGTTCCTTCGGGGCGTCAAATAATTACTAAATCATATTTCAATATTTGGCTCATTAAATTTAGAGTAAAGAATTTGTACCCTTGACGGCTTGCCAAGTCTATTGTTGGCGAGGGCCGCTATTAGCTTATTAAAGAAGAGTCTTTAATATATAGATGATCCGAGACCCGTCGTTTGAACGAGAGCGTCATCGCCATTACCACCAGTGCTAGTAGTAATAGTACAGACACAGCAGCTGTTAATTACACTGAACGCGCTGATGACGTACGGAACAGCCAAATGCAGTAAAAAAAGCCGTGCAGCATTGCCATCGCCATCAACAAAGCGATCACAGCTTCCAATCCACGACAGTATGTCCTTCTCTTTCATCCACCCATCATCTCAACCTACTTACAATAAAAGCCCAAGAAAAATCGCCAAGAACCACTCAGGCATTCCACACAATAATGCCATCCAATCTCACAATCCTCTTCCTCCTTGTCTTCGTCCTCGCAGTATGCCTACCAGGGCACGGTGTATACGCCTTCGGCGCGGGCAATATCCCCAGGTGCGTAATGGTGTCCACCCACAATCCAATACTTCCACTACAAAGCGCTCACGATGATTTAGCTTCGCATATATGGAGGGTCGTGCGTTTCGACACGGAGATATCGTTCGTCATCGCTCAATTCTCCTCCGGTGGCACGCTAAATCTAACTTATCAATCCATACCTTTTCTTTGTCTTTCGTATGTAGGAAGACGTCCTAGCAGAAATAGCAAAGAAATCCGGTGCAGGTATCATGGGTGCCCTAGCTGGAAGAAGTAAGTTCGGTGGACTCGACATCAAGCGGATTTACTTCGGGTATGTCCATGCTCGCTCGCGTGTTTTTCATTCTCGAGAGCTACTTCTTGACGAGTTCATTTTGGTTAGGAACTGGCTAAGGGATTACTCTCAGGCGGTGGACATTGCTGGGTTGAAGAAGCTGCCGTTGCAGGTGAGCGTCCGTTCTCATACTTCGTCTCGCTGGTGGCATACAGCCCTTACAGCCTGTCCCCCAACTCCCCACCTCCTGCACCTCCCTACAACCGTCGACTAACCTCCACCTCCCACCCAGACAATAATCAACCTCTGCATGGCCCTCGGCTTCCTCGCACACGGCTATGCAACCAACGAATTCGAAGTAACCGAAGACCGCCTCGGTGTCTACCTCCCCACCGAACACATCGACAACCCAAAAGGCTACGGCGAAGGTGAAGACGCTCGGAAATACCACCCTAAACTCCGTGGACCCGTTGACCCACGTGAACTTGAAATCGATCCACACACGGGTATGAAGAATTACATTGCGAACGAAAATGGTTCGTGGGATACGTCGAAGGCACTGGTCAGGCGTACGCTTGAGAGGTGTATACATCTTGGGAGACAGTATCGGTCGAGTAGTCAGAAAGCGGACCTGTATGAGTCGTATCGGTTGCTTGGTCAAGCGGTGAGTACGACCTCAGATACCTTGATGATCAAAATGACTGATATGAACGAACCTGCATAGATGCATACGCTTGAAGACTTCACGGCGCACTCCAACTTCTGTGAGCTCGTCCTCGTATCGATGGGACACAGGGACGTCTTCACGCATGTCGGCGATCGCGTGCGCATACAAGCACCGAATGGGAAATACGTCGCTCCTCTTATCACTGGCACGTTCGGAGGAAACGACTTCATTCATAGTTTACTAGGCGAAGCAACAGATCACATCGTACGTTCTTCACTCCGCTTCTCCAGTCCTCATCAGACTCCTTACCCAAAAAACAAACATGTATAACACAGAGCCAAGCCTCCGTCTCCGACCTCAACAAAGAACTCGAAAAAGCCAGCGCGCGTACACGCTCTGGTCCAGGCGGTAGCAACGATGGCGGCGTCTCCGTCGGCCTCCTCAAAGACCTACTCGGTAAAGTTCCCTTCGGCGACGACTCCAGCTCAGGAGGAGATATGTCCCGCTCAGAGATGAATCGCGGGATGGACGACATCGAACGTATTCGTGCTGGACCTGCTGCTGGTGGGAAACGCCCTGAGGATATGAGTCCGCAGGAGTTGCATGCGGTTCTTTGGCGGGTTTTGACTTTTAGGGATTCTAGTACGTGCACTCTTACTATATTGTAGAGCTTCTCGGAGAATCTGATATGTGTGTTGTTGCGTAGTCGTAAAGAAGATCGAAAAGACAATCGGTCAGTTCTCAATTCTACCGCCATAGTGGATGTCCTCCGTCCTCAGTTGACTCCTGACTTTTTACAACAGAAAAGATACCCGGTCTCGGCCCACTTATCGAGAAACTCATGGACTCAATCTCTGTATTCATATTCACGACGCTTGAACCGTATCTCAAGCCGATAATGAAGACCGCTACGACTGGGTTGATGTCAGCTTCTGGCGAAGTCATTGATAGCCATGATCAATACGAAGTGAGTTGGATCTCTTATTTACAGTATGTGGATTATTTGCTGATGGGGATTGTGATAATTAGGTTTTCAATGACCCTAATGCGGTAAGCAAGGAATAAACAAGAACGGAGAGTGGGTAATTTAACTGACAGATAAAACTTTACAGTCCGATCCTACACATTCCTTCCTAAGTAAAGATCACTTCGTAAGTTGTTTCTGCTCTAATCTCACGTTTCTCACAACACTAAAAATTCCGTCAATAGAACTTAATTCTGAACGAGCCAGCTGGTAAAATTGCGATGGTCATCGTCGCGTACACCACCAAGCTCATCGTAAAAGCATGGGGCGACAACTCGGCGAACGTCCACCAGACTACCGAGGACATTTTACAATGCATGTACGTCTCCTCTCACTCCATCGCTTTCACACAGACTCCTGATTAACTCTGTGATTTTGAATCTATTTCAAGGTTCCACCCAGACTTCCACAATCCGAACTCCCAAATCCAACGCGAGATGCTGCAAAAAATGCGTGACTGGGTCCAAGGTCTAGGCCACAGCCAACACTCCGTCATCTCCCGTCTCTCGAAAGAAAACGTCCGCGAGCACCGGAACATTCGCGGGAAGGGCGAGGGCGGGGCGTCGAGTGCGGAGGGTGGAGCGGCCTATAACGCAGGACAGAACGCGCAGCATCAGATTAGTGGATACCTTAACGCCATCCCAGGTGTTTCTCAAGCACAGTCGCTTTTGAATCAAGTTAACCCGTCAAGGCCCGGTGGTAATAATCCGTACGGTCACGGATTTAGAGAGGGGTCAATGCCTGGACCTGGCTCTGGCCCCGGTACGGGATTCCCTTCTGCACCTGGTCTGCAGTCTAGTTTCTCAGAACCGGTGCCGGCGTCTTCTACTGGAGAAGCAGCGGGGTACTATTCTGGAGGAAGCGCAGGTCTAGGTGGACGACATGAACACGGACATAGTTATTCAGGGAGCGATCACCACGCCTCATCGACCTATCCAGGTCAAGGTCAAGGTCACCACGCGGCCTCGTACGCACCGCCACCCGGCCCGCCACCTAGTGGACCACCCGCTTTCCATTCCTTTCCAGGTACTAGCACCGCCCCCGGTCCCGGACCAGGACGAGACGACTACGCCTCGTCGGGATACGCACCCTCGTACAGCACCCCACCACCACCTCCGGCAGGTCAAACACATTCATCTTACGGCGGAGCCTCATCCTACGGCGGCAGCGGTGGCGGAGGGATGTCCTTCCCGGACCCAGACGCAGGCGGAGGGTTCTCGATGCCCGGTTCTACTCCTGCTTTCCCTAGTGCACCAGGTGCTCCAGGCGTCCCGGGTGGTCCAGGTGGTCCGGGTGGACCTATGGGGTTCCCTGACGCTAACGCGTACGCTCCGCCGCCTGGTGGAGGAGGTTATTATAGTGGACCACCTGGGGGTGGGTATCCTCATCAGCATCAGCATCAGCGTCCACCTGGTGGTTGGTGATGAGGTCGGTATTAGTATTGGTAGGTCAAAGGTTGTCGGAAATTTTCTTGTAGCCTTGTAGTTGTGTAAAGTAGTAGTCTAGTCGTGTTGGTGTGTTATTGCCGTAGTTCTGTAAAAAGTAGTGTCAAGATGAGCGATGTACAATAATAACCTATGTAGTTCATTATTCTGATAGTCAACTTGGCGGTTTGAAGATTTTGAACTACGTGGACGGACATTTAGGCAAACAGCACTGGAATTTGTGAAACGGACATGGGATGTGTTACACTGTTAGCAGATTTGTTGTTTATTGGAATCTGGGTTTGCTTAGTCATAACGGTGGGTGAACTGTCAATCAACGACCTGTCACTACTGCACTTCTCTCGTCATGGACTCGACACAGTACGCCTCATCTCGACTGCTGCAATATACTATTTTGATATCTCACGAGGGTCGAAGTTAGTCTGCTTAACCAAGTTGAGTCTGTTGTGCTTTGTGGCAATGTGTATGACACTTTGCTTTGCTGGCTGACTAGACGACGTCATTAATTTTTATTTGAATTGGTCTACACCAACTCAGGCACCTCTGTCAAGCCCTGCACGACTTCTTGACTACTTGATTCTTTACGGCTCCTACTTATATCTAGTGACAAATCATGGTTTTGTGGAGGCTCAGTCGAAATGATATGTGACATGCTGATCAACTTGTTTTTGAAGTTTGTTTGGGACATGGGGCGCCCATTCCAAATTTCCAATCAGCTCTTGATTTGACAACGTGATGCAGGACGTCTCGACTGTGCTGTTGCAAAATCTGTTCAACTGACTGAAATCTTTGTGGAAACGCACTTCACTTTGCTGGAGAATGTTATTATCAAAAAGTCTGTTGATTAGACCGTCACATTCTATATGACTTTTGATTATCTCATAGATTGCTCGGCTTCTCGGGACATAGGATGCAAGCAAAATGCAGATGTTGTATTGATGGTTCGAGTACTGACGCTTATCCAGGATAGCACTTCATTTGTTGTGAATCCTGCAGTGTCAGTCTCGGCGGTGTTATAATGACCTCTCTCAATAGGCTGATACAATCCGTACGTTGCTTGCCGGGCGTCCCGCTGACTTTTAGGCTAGCTTGTTCCACTGTGGCAATGTACTTTGCTCTGCTGGCTGGACAGCAAGATTATTTAAAAATTCGGGCAACTCTCCGGCCAAGACCGACTTCCTCATGGCTCTGCTTCTTAGGGTGGAGGAAATAGGCTTTAAGCTACTGATTGACGTGCAGGGCTAGGATAAATTCTTAGGTGTACGTGATACATGTCCTCAAGTGATTCTTCCGTTCCACATGCCAGTCTTCTCTGTCAGTTAATTGAAGGAGGGTGGAATATAGACTCAGCATGGGATGGTCGTATCCTTCTTTCTGGTTGTCCACTGCCACTGCGTTGTGAAGAGGCGTCCTGTCAACAGGGTAACTCCCTGTCCATGTACTGTATATGCTCCGGACTTTTTACTTCCCGTCGCCGATAGCGGTGGTACTATCAAGATACAGTTCCACAGCTTGGCCAGCCTTCAAGAGTCCTTTCAACGTCAGACTTTCATGCGCGATTCTTCTGATGCTTGCCGGCTTCACCATTTATTTGAGGGAAGATTTGATGATCTTTGGATGGACGTGTCCTCCTTTTGCTTGTACACTGCTAAATTACGTGTGAGGAGGGATGTCGCAAAGTGCACTACATGAGAGATCTTCGAGAAGAGCTGGCCATGGGTAAGAATAATTAGTACTGTCTAATCTGTGATTCATACCGTCGTTGAGCGGATGAATGACCTTCGGAAGAATGGAAGAAAGAGGTAATACTAGCACGGACCTTCATACTCGATGCATGGAAATTCATTCACGGTTCGTCACTAGCTCAAGCCTCCACACCATTTATCATCTTGCAAATGCTCAGAGTCTCAGAAAGGCACTTAGGAGTTAAAGAAGCAGGCAGTACCTAGTCAAAACGCTTTTGAAGATCTCTTGGTGCCTGCTAGCTTACCTGGTCCGCTTCGAGGATGGTGATATGGGCCAGAAATAGTTCTGTTGCTATACAGTCGTCTAATCTTGCAGTTCAGGATGCAAACATAAGCAGTTGTAGATACGGTTGGAGACATTGGTACAATGGCTGTGTGCTACAATGCCGATGACATGAACGTTGTTGTCGTCGGATAGATAAGTTGATACGATATTATATATATTGTGTATCGCGATGTGTCTAAATAATGACAGATGAGAGAGTCATTACCTGATGCTTGGGTTAGGCGCCGGCTTAGTCATGAGGAGAACCAAGGTATTGATTCATCATTTAATTTGAAATTTAGGCAAGTAGTGATGTACATCCATCTCGGTCCGCATTTGACTCGTACACTTATGCAAGGCATCGCAACTGCTTTATTACGATACCTCGGTTCGCAGTTTCTCTCTGTCCATCTTTCGTGTCTTAGCTTCCTGGCGTGCAAACTGGCTTGTTGAACCGGAATCTTTATGGCAGCCCTCTTCGGCGACTCTTCGCCTCACTCAAGCCATTCTAGAAAAGTACATCAACTCAGGCTATCTTGGCAAGCTGTGCAATTTCCTGACTGCTTGATTCGCTTCTTAGTAGACAAGAAACAACCTTTACGCTTTAACTGATTGACACGTGTGGACCAAAGCAAACTTTTAGACGTCATGATACATGTCCTGTCGAATGATGCTTCTGAATGCTTGTCGTCTTCGCATGCATATAGACTTGTAGCTCTGCGGATGGTCGTGTCCTCTTAATTGTCTAGTGTCAGATAACTCGTGGAGAGGCGTTCTGTCGGTAGGTCAGCTGGCTATCTGTGTACTCCGGACTTTTCGTGACCTATCACCGAAAGTAGGGTACTGTCAGCCGCAATCCCACAGCACATTTACATTTCCAAAGCCTCTTCAATATCAAGTTTGAACTATTTAAGCGCAGTATTAACATAAAGTGTTAATTAACATCGCACTTCCGAATAATCTTACCTTCTCTCCGAGGCTTTATCCTTGTCTCTCGTCATGCGTCACTCAAAATCAACCTACTTCCTACGCCGGCAAAACAAACTCGTCATCCCCGACCTCGTCTCTGACTGTCCGTTCAAGTTACGGCTCAACCCTAACGGACCCGAAGTGGGTGCGCAATCCGACGCATGGCTCTACTCTCAGGGTAGCCTAGGCGCACGAAAATTCATGAAGCTTCGCGGCTTAAAATGCGGTTTACTCTCTGCAATGACGTATCCTGTTGCACCCGCGAATGAACTCCGAGTCGTTTGCGACTTCCTCAGCTTCCTCTTTCACCTCGACGACCTTTCGGATGACATGAACAATTCCGAAACGCTTGATACGCGAAAACTAGTTATCGGCTCGATATACGATCCTGGTTTTGCTGCGGACACGAAGGTGGGGCGTATGGCGAGAGAGTACGTACAATAGATATATATTTCAATCTGTCTTCAGCGTGGGCTTATCCTCTTGTATTTACGTGCTAAAAGTATTTGGGCACGTATGTCACCTACTGCCTCGAAAGGAGCAAAAGCACGCTTCATTAGCACCTTCGACCTCTTCTTCCGCGCTGTCTCAAAACAAGCCGTTGACCGTCGCTCGGGCGTAATAATGGACCTCGATTCATACATCGTTCTCCGACGCGACACAAGCGGGTGCAAACCATGCTGGGCACTAATAGAATACGCCAATGGGCTAGACCTCCCGGATTTTGCCATGCAGCATGAAGCCGTTGAGACGTTGGGAGAAGCTACAAATGACATCGTGTCTTGGTCAAACGTATGTTTTCCGGTCGCATGCTTTCCGGGCACTTTAACTAACTCTTTATTGGTTCCGTTCCACAATAGGACATCTTCTCATATAGCAAAGAAGATGCCCGAGAGGACACGCACAATATGATCTTCATCGCAATGCACACAATGGGTTTAAGCCTTCAAGAAGCGGTCGACTTCGTTGGAGATCTCTGTGACGCGGCAATATCACGGTTCCTCGCAGCGAAAAGGCGTGTACCGTCTTTCGACCGTGGAGGGCGAATCGACCGCGAGATCGCATTATATGTGCGTGGACTTGAGGACTGGATTGTGGGGAGTCTTCACTGGAGCTTCGAAAGCGCGCGATACTTCGGCAAAGAAGGTCGAGGTGTGAAGAGACGAAGGGTTGTCAAATTGACTCGTGAGGACAAAAGTGGCTCCACTACTATTAACGGTAGCCTTTGGTCGCGAATACTATGTCATACCGGGTCCATGGCGAAGTACGACCTGGCGTGAACTTTGGAAACTAGCGAATCGTCACCTGCTCGGCTCTTTTTTCGTTTTCCCTGAACTCTGGTGAATTATTACCGTCTATGGAAGAATAATACAGTAGTAAATAATACAGTTCCACAACATAAATTCAACCTTTCTGTTCGGCATGCTTGTTCCATATGTACACTAATTGTCATGCGTAGGTCCTCGAAATAATATGTACGCTTTGATGGCAGTTCGAAATATCCAACGTGTGATGGTAGACAATGACATAAAAGGCAGCATTGCGATCCTAACCTATAAGCACGATAACTGCTATCGCTCTTCGTTATGATCGTACAACGCAGGTTTCGTATGAAGGCCCAGATGGTGGTCCTGTGCTTCGAGTGCAGGCGACGATTCAAACTGTAAAAGATAGTCGTTGAAACACGGGTTGGCGACAGAAGAAATGCAAAGCTCGTATACCCACTTTGGAGTCACAGTTTGCTGTGTGCGAGCTGTCCCTGAGCTGTCGGAGTTCAATACACGTAGGTCTCACGACTGCCGGTGGGTTTGGCTGCGGCGCTCGCAAAGTGCCAGCTGGCAATGGATCCACACGGAAATCAATCTTGCTAACTTCCTGCGCAGCCCCACGTAAAGCATGTCGTGAATTCAGACTGAAGTTAAGGGGGTAACAATATCAGCGGGCACAAGGGTTCAAGCCATCACAAACGAGAGGGGCATGGGTGTACTTACAGTGCGACTAAACGTACGTTATGCGTTAATATTCAAGTGTTCACGTCTATTGGTGTATTTAAAGCACTCACGAAGAGAGTTGACATGTAATTTGCTGAGACAGAGATGGAATGGGAGCCTAGTCGTTTAAGTACAGTTAAAATAGATTCCAGGTGATATCTCAAAGTGTGAGAGAACAGACCAATACAGCATCATTGGCGCGCTGAGATACGCAGCCATGCGACCGATTTGTGCAACCGTGAAAAGTAAGCCACGATTGATTGTGTAGAACAATAACGTGTCGACCAAAGTCGTATGGCCTCTTCGTTTGTATATTCAAGTTTGAGAGGATTGGGCTGTTGTCAGTCGCGAAATCATAGCGGAGGGGAATATAAGTGAAGCTCACCGTCCGAGATCTGCCCGATGAGACACAAGAAACAAACATAAGGATGAGCACGCGATAATATCACTTGCAGAAGCGCAGCAGCTGCCGAGGCTCGTGAAAACCTTTCGAGGATAAATAAACGTCGAGACCGGCGAGGGCAAATATACGTGAGTCCTTTCGCGTATCATTATAAGTGTCCCATGGACCATACCTTCAACACGTCGACGCTGAATTTCGCCGCTGACGTGAAGTAATTCTCAACGACTATGAGAATTGTCGAGACTTTCCAGCATTGTATTAAGCAACTTAAGATTGATTCATCGAAGAAATGTAAGACGCACTTGTGTTTGAGACTATGTTGTGATCATACACACTTGGTTAGCTCGATAGGATGTTGTCGTAAAATTCATGCATTCTCACTAAAAGCAGATAGTGTAAAAAATGCCTGTAACATCCGGTTAGCCAACTGCGTAGTGTGAAAGCATTAAAGAATGTACCATCGCGGCAAATGTGGACAGAAATCGATTCGGAGAGGACTTGTGCACTGGTGATATAGAATACTCGTCAAGTATCTCTTCAAGAAAAATGACTTGGTAAAATTGCCCATACACTTATAGATTTGGGTTGCATAGAAAGACTGTGACCTAAATCATGTTTGCAACGTTATCCATGCTATATTACTGCCTCTTCCTTACACGTAGGAAATGACTCACAGGAATGTGACAGTTGTCGTTAAAAAGAATTCAATCGTGAAAGTCCTATTCTCCATTGGATTAAATGCAAGCTACCTTGTCGATGATGCCCATACGTACACTGGTGGTGATACTGATAAAGAGGTGGGATTGCCGTAGTTTTCAATCTATAGATCTTTTAGTAAGTAATTCATGTTGCAGAAATCTCGACATGCCATGTAATAATACAACACGTGGGCCGTTAAGAAAGAGGAGAGAATGTCCAAGGTCCTGAAATAATATGGTAATCAATAAACTGTAGACATGAAGCGATGAAATGAACTACTCACATTAATGAAGCCACAAGTACCCGCAGTGGTCTTTTGTCCACATAGTTTCTGAAGTAAATGAAGCCCTGGATGAGGGTCATGCCTAGTAAACTTCGACAACCATAAGCCCAGCTCCACCGAACACAACTCCCCGGATAATGTAACGAACGTACATCGTGGCCACGGCGAAACCTGAAGCAAGTAATGGAGTGAACGAATGGCCATTAACCAGAGAAACTAAGTACAGATGGTATGTGCGTACCCCAATATAAGCAATTCAAGGCTGCACGATTCGCACCAGACAGTGTTGGGTCGGTCGACGCCATGACGGTGTCCAGTGTCGCGGGAGGTACCATCGGAGAGAACGACGGAAGTCGAGGCCATGTATATATCGTCTGTCCCCGCGCTATTCAGGGCTGCCGACGGAATTGGAATTTCTTGGTGGATCTAATGTTCACTCTAGCCGAAAGGAAGGTCTCAATTAGAACATTCCGGGCCAATAAAGCGTCAAGGAAACGAAAGCTTGGTTGCATAGCGGAAATATTCATCCACAGAACCTTACGGCCGTACTCTGTTGCAGGCTGCTGCGGCTTGCTGCCCGTGGAAGGCGCGAACAGAGTATTGAGAAGGCGGAATAGCTCGATGGGAGTAACGCGGAAATACCCGACCGTATAATTAGGCAGTAAGTCAAGTCCAACTCACAACGACTGTTCACCCTTTCCAGACTAGCCTGAGAAGCTCCATTTCGATCATTTGACACATCGAGGACTGGTCCGCGAGGTGAGCGGTACACCGCAAGCGCAATATTTCAGCAATATTGGCCGAAATCATTCAAACCTCCAAGATGTTTAAGTTCTAGTAAATCCCACACATATCTGAAATAAAAGTCGCGGAAACTTCGTGGCGCGAATTTAATCTTCAACATCTCACGGGATCCCAAGCCGTCCTTCGTACATTCATTACATCATTACACGATCCGTACGTAGTCTTCCAATCACAGCCATCAAGGGATGCAACGAAATCGTGAGCGTCAGCCTGGAGTAGCGCCATTCCCTTCATCGGAATAATATCGTAGAAAAGGGTACCCACACTGTTTGCCAGCTCAGATGTGTCAACTGCTGCATTCTTCGTAGAATATCCGCTGATTTGATTGCGCCGATGGATTTTCATAACGAAGGAAACCTGTGGATAAAGTCTAACAATGTGTTGCTATAGTATTTTCGCTGAAGCTCGCGGAAAGCATTAGTGAGCAGGCAGCAGAAAGTCGTGAGCGCCTACTGTTCAATACAAAATAAAATGGGGTATTTTTAAACACCCTGTTTAAATAGATGACATGCTTACAAGCGAATTCCTTTTACTTAATGCGGATCAAAGGATGTTCAATAAGACCCGAGATCTATGGAGGCATTTGAGTGCATTTAAGAACTTTTGCCGATCCTCCATAGACGTGATGGTGATCTAGTAAGCTGGTTATAATGTCGAATGGCCGTGAAATGGGGATGTCATGGTGGTCTTAGTTTCCAAGCCTGAGTTATGAGGTATTATGTGAGATGCCGACTCTATAAATGTTATTAGGAGTGGTGGATGCAGACGACACCAAGCAATGATAGGCCCAATGATCGTTTATGGTCCACTAACGATGCAAAGGGTTGCGAAGTGACGCAGTCATCCACTATTCAATCTGCGTTGCATTCTTCGAAAGCCTTTCAGCTATTTTTGGACTGGTTGTGCCGCACCGACTGGGCTTTCACGGTAAAACATCAGTGCTCCAATGTACGCGACGTCAAGTATCCAGGTAGACTCACGGATACAACAACATACGCAATTTTCATTCCAATGATGTCTCGACCCGAAGTCAATTGCTTACTGGTTCCTAGCTCGAATAGAGCCGGCAAATTGAACGAGCCCCGTAAACGATGCAAGACAGGAATTCCTTTGAATTAATAATGTATACTTTATCTATAGCTGCAGACAATTATTTGAATCATTTCATAGGCAAAAAAGGTTTGCGGACTCACTGCAAAGTATGTTGCTAAATATTAAGAACGACTATGAAAGAGTTAGTATAACAGACCCCATAGAAAGGCCTGAAAGAAAGCTCACCAATGATGAAACCGCAATTGATTATTATTACATTACATGGAGAGTTCCAAGGGCCATGCTAAATACCGTAAAATAGAACTGCCTCCTTCAATTGCTTAAACCCCTCAGATTCACTACGATACCGGTTTTCTTGCCCAGAACAAGTAATTACACTCCGTCGACCCAAACGCTCCACGTGGTGCGAGCTCCCAAGCACCCTTCCATGGCAAATACGCAATCCCACGAACCTCCGCTTCATTCCGCGGGGGTATACCACCATACAAATCCGCTATCCACGGTCGACCGGCATCTCCCACAGGCTTTCGGAAGAAATCAATAAGCTCAGCGGGCTTAACGTATTTATCATACGTATGCGTGCCAGGCTGAACAAGTCCTAGCATTTTCTCCGCGGCGAATATCGTTAAGAGATAGGCGAGTGGTGTGCGTGAGATCGTCGAAAGGAACAGATGACCACCTGGCTAAAAACGAAGTTTCAATCAGATGGCAACTTGTAAACATGGACAAGTTACACACCTTGACTAGTTCTGCACATGACTGAAGGAAAACTGCGGGGTTGTCTACATGTTCAAGAACTTCCATAGAGCATACAATATCAAAACGTCTTGTTTCGTTAACGAGTTCCTCTGCTGACGAGTTTCGGTAGTCTAAAGCCGAGCTCCTTAAAGTAGGGTCTTGCGAAGCGTGTAGGGAGGCAATAGCTATATTCTGAGACGACGCATCTATGCCCACAGTCCTTGCACCAAGCCGTGCTAGGCTCTTTATTTGACGTTAGCTGGTGATATTCTAGACGAGAGTGAACACTCACTTCAGATAGTAAGCCTCCGCCACACCCAATATCTAGAACTTCCAATCCATTCAGTACCTTTGCACTTTCCTCTGCATTTTCCTCTGCGTCCAGTCCATCATCCCGTGCTACCTCAAGCAGTTTATTCCGTATGAACCGAACCCGGACAGGATTCATCCTGTGCAGAAGCCCGAATTCACCCGACTCATCCCACCATTGCGATGCGAGTCTCGAAAAGAACTTTATTTCTTCCTCGTTCACGGATGAGGTTGGTGAAGCTGCTGTCGAAAGTCGTGATCGAGTCGTGCGTACGGGTCGAGCAATGCAACGAACACCTTGTTCAAATCGTGGTCGCGAGATTCGTGGCAACCTTTCCAAAATTTTCTATCGCCAGAACATAAGTCAACTAAGAAGAGCTCTTTTCAATAACATACGGGAAAACATACCGCGGACATGGGGAAGGAGGGTATCTGTGCGCCAAACACTGAAACAGGATGTGAGCGAGAAAGTCTCGATCACGTGGATACTTCGCATGACGCAGCGTAAGTACAAATTCCGATTCAATAGTGCTTGTTATCTAAGACCGTCTCTCTCTTTATTATAATTATGTACTGCAAAGGCATCACAGTATTGCAGAATTACTACATATTAAAGTATTTACAGTTACACACAGCCCATCTCCCCAAATACATGAATATGTCTATGACACGACCAAATGAAGAATATAGCAGTCAAGTAGATGATGCACAGAGCTTTTCAACAGCCGTCATCAAGCAAACGTGATTGGTTCCGATCCACCAGTATACAGCATCGCAGTCGGTTTTATCTCTTCAATCTCATTACTCTCCACTTCAGCTTCCTCTTCAATTCCAGGCGGTGGTCGCCGAATGTTCGAAAACAGTGGACTTGGTCGTTTCTGAGGTAGCACCAGTTTCATAAGTTTGTCAGTTAGCCGATCTCAGAGATTGACGAATAACAAAACCTTACCCTTGGATCCCTCGGCAAATTAACGAGCTCAAACGTAGTCAGACCTCCCGTTCCCCCACTGTACCTCTTTGAACAAGGCGTGCGGGGACTCGGAGTATATTGCGAATCCGGGGAGTCTTGCCCCGCGGACATGAAGTCAGTCGAAATCTCAAGTTTCGTTGCGGTCGATCGAGCCCTCAACGTCGCTCGTGAATTAAGCCTAAATAAAATCGGAAGGGCTGATTCAATAAGTGCAGTATGAGAAAAAGGGGAACAATCCTGACATAGCCACTACAAGCAGGACTTAGCACAGCTAAACGTTATGAGTGGAAAAAAATACTCACATAGTGTGTTTACGTGCAGCTTGCTTACGCTTAGATGGAACGGCATCCTATTCCATATCAGTATATATCCCCAAATACACTTTCTAAACAGTCGCCTCACCAATACGCTTTAGACGGGAAAGCAACGAACAAGGCTAGATGCCCAATCTGCGCGACCGCAGCGAGGATACCCCGATTCACAGTGAAGAAAAGGAGCGTCCGCAAAAGATTATTCGTCCTTCACGTCCGAATACATAACTCAATTAGTATCCAGAGAGTAAAAAGAGTTGACCATAACGTACTCCTTGTATGCCGACCGGTGAGACGCAAGATAATAACACATTGCCACAGTTGACACGATATCGCAAGCGGCAGCAAAGGACGTCGCAATACTCAAACACACCTACACATTGGATTAGTCAAGGTCGTCGTTCGTCAATAGCGACCAGTTGACCTACCATCACTCTCTTCTCCGGAAGGTTTCCAATCAGCAGATCCACAGCGAATAGTTCAAACGTAAGGGCTATCGATTATAGCTATTCAGCACCTCAACGCAGCTATTAAGATCGTGATACACACCAATACCGCCAGCGAGAGCGCATGTCGCAAGGAAAGCCTAGGTACCTCTCAGGACAGTGTGTAACGCATTAAATGGAGGGCACGTACGATCAAGAGTGGCGTCCAGATCTTCCTGTTGACTACATTTGAGCACAGAGAGTTAATACCGGTTCAACCTCAAGCGGGAAGAAAAGCCTTTACCTGCATATATCCGCCAAGCGTAGAAATTTTGTGACCTGAGAAGCAAATATTTAGAGAGCCCATGACCCTCCATGCTAATCAAACGTACAAGAATATGATAGCTAGAGTAATCACGTATTCGGCGACATAGGGTCTGCGAGTGTATGTTCAGAAAACAAATAATCAATCATCAAGTGTCCACTGTACCTTGTCATAAATAGGAGTGCCAATGGGTTTCCGAAGTTGATTATCTGGACATCGAAAGCGCGTTACGGCTGACATGAGTAACTTCAGTGTAGTTGAACCGTACCAAATAATAATGCAGACTCTCCGACGAAAGCGCCGTAGTAGAAAAGTCTAAGACCCTAATGCAAAAAGGCCAGGTGAGCTAATGGTTTCAGTTTCTAGGCAATTTTGACTAACAGCAACAGTGCAACCTATTTCACGGTATATTCGCAAACGTTACCACTTGTGATGGTACCAGAGGCACTCACAAATGCTCTTAACTTCCATGAATCATTGCTGCGCACAAAGAAGAAGTATCCTTGAACGACCGATATCCCGAAGAGTCTGCAGACGGGTGGAGATAGTCAGAAATTTCATCGCCATCAATTCCCCTTCTCCTAATACCTACATAGTAGCGACAAGAAATCCTACACAGGGGTCACTAATACTGTCTAATCATGTTGAACAAATTGCTTACCCCAGTAAATAACACCAAACGTAGAGGACAAGTCCATACCAGCCATTTTGTCAAGAGGGGCCCGGTCCCGTACCACAGAAAGGGAGGGGGAGGGGATCAAACACGAAACAAAAGTTGGGGATTTAAACAATCTGCATTGGAGCCACAAAAGGAGCTCAGCGCGAAGTCTCCCCCTATTTGGATACTCTCTATCGCCGACGGAAGCGCAATCAACTGGGTATTGGTCCTACCTTGCTACGCGTCCGAACCCACATGCGCCTCAGCTCACTGTCTTCTTCATTTGTTGATGGGAGAAAACCAAAAGAGGTCTGAAGATACGGGCGTATGGTACTCAATCAGGATTAGTCTGTACGTATCGGCCAGTTGTCAACCAGACAAGGAAGATGGTGGAGTTGCCTTATGTGCGACTAAGCTTATTGGGTGTGAGAACTATACCTGACCCGGAAGCCATCGAAGTTACATTCGACACAGGGGTCCGTGGTATAAACAGCCCACACGAAATGTCCGAAGATCATTCAGCGGTCGGCCCGAAGTATGAGTTACGACAGATGGGAACGTGGACGAGTGGAATTAGCAGCATGTAACGTAAAGAGGTTCAAAGATGCCTAGTGATCGTCGGTGAACGGCGTCTCCATGCCTACTCGGGCCTCAAATAATCGATAGTGAGATTGCACGAGTCCAGATCAAAGACCAATGGATTTCAATTATTGAAGCGAAGGATGGCTGTGACTCAGTGTGAGCGTGCGTGCTTCATCATGTCCGAATAAAGGTCCAGGATAAACTGGCGGAGAAAGGGAGATATCATCAGTATCAACAAAAGTATGGCACGATGAAAGAAGCCAGAACCTTGACCAACAGCAAAATTTCCTTTGCCGAAAGACGACGAAATGAGATGTCGTGAGTGCTGAGCTGTCTTTCAAGTTATGCTATTGCCAAATACAGTCAACAGAACACATTGATTGTATAGGTTTGACGATGTTCCCGCAACATCCCACATTCCTCATTAACATGGAGAATCACTACATCCAGGGCAGTCACTGGATTGCCATCTCAAACAACGAATGAGGACGGAGTCTGTTATGATCGGCATGGAAGCCGAGAGTAAGTGCGGGCCGAGGTGATCGGGTTCGTTGGCGACTAAAGAAACCAATCAGCACGATGCACACTGAAGCAACCCGTATCCTTTTCGCTGAGAAGCTAGACTTGATATACTACTACAGTAGAATATGTCATAATGCATAATGCTGGGAAGGGTCATTTCTATATTCATTATGAGATTTATGCATTATGACATTATATTTTGGCAGAGAATGACCATTTGGTTCTGAGAAAAAGTCATTCATTATGACAATTATACATTACCACATTATGCATTATAACATATTTGACTGTATGAACCTAAAGAAAGGCCACACGTCAGTGGCGTATCTGGGGATGGCCGTAAAATTCTTTCCTTCATGAAAAGGATATTTTATTACCTAATATCTATAGGATCGACGACGATCACGTGCTGCTATGGCCGTTACACAAGGATGACATCATCACACATTGACTCCATGCTATTGCTCACTGACTTGTAGTACTGTACTGCCAGTAGTCACTGTAGTAATTCGACCATGGCAGACATTCCAGCGCCAGACTTATTGTCACAAACAGCAGAGAACAAGCAGTCTCCTTTGGCTCCCCCTCCTCAACACCCAGACACCTCAAAGATGCCAGGTGATTATAACACAGATTCCAAACAACCCGCACCTTCAACCGAAGGACCGTCATCCATCGTCGCTGCAGCAGGTCCTTCCTCCTCCCAAACTCAACCGAAACCTCAGACCGAAACCTCCGGATTCTTCAAACGAGCACTCTCAAAGGACAACCGTCGTACAGCCCATCGCTTCTTCTCCGCCTACGCCCAAACATGGGTTGGCATGTCCCCACTTTGGCTCATGGGCGAAGCCATCCTCCCCGGTCACAAAGTTGGCACTCAATTCAACAAAGGAAGGAAGAACCTATTCGGTGTCGCGGAGGAGGTCCGTCAGGTTGTTACGACGAGCGGGAAGGATGTCGTCGTTATTATTGACGAGAAACTCTTCGGTCGTGGAGAAGGCGGAAAGCAAGTTACAGAGAGGACTGCAGAAGTCATCAAAGCTGCAGGGTAAGCGATTCACTCCAGCTCACCAGCACACAGATATTGACAAACCGTAATTAGAGAGAACGCCTTACTAGTCGTAACAACCTCCCTCGACAAACTCTCCACCCAATTCACTTCCACCAAATCCAAAGCATCCTCCCAAACCCAAAAATTCGACCTCCGCGAACTCGCCAACGACCCCAAACTCAAACAATCTCTTAGACAACACAGTCGAGACGCACTCGTCCTCCTCGACAACGCACTCAAACACCCCGTGGTAGTCACCGGCGTCTCCCGCTTCGCACGTTCCCGAGGAATCCCGCACGCCGACGCTCTTCTACGTCTTGCATCTCTCGGCCTCGGCAGGATCCTTCGCGCCATGCCAGAAGAGGTCCAACAAGAGGTAAGCGAGCACGTAGAAGCCAAGATCGAAGAAATCGACGCGGAGGAGCTCGAACGCACAAGTACGCAGGAAGAGCGCGTGGAGGCAGAGAATATCGGGAAAACAGCAGAGAAGGCAGCAGTTCCGAAGGTCGAAGGCAGCCCGCCTGGTGACAAGGACGATCCCTACGCGACAATGAAGAAAAAGAACGAATGCATCATAATGTAAAGGCATACATGCATGAGGCGAATCCACAATCGTAATATGATGACTCACGACTTGGACAGTGTTTAGTTCGTACTTTTGCAGGTACACATGCAGATGTAGTATACACGCATCCATTTACAGAATGTAGTAGTTCTTGATGTTCCCGCACCCAGATTCTGGCGCTATCAAGCCTCAATATAACCAACCCAGCTGATCTAAGTACCAGACACCAAGGATAAGTAAAATCAAATTAACAAACCGAAGCCAATCCACGAGAACTGAAGCAACATCTGAAACACCTAGCTCGGCGGTTATACCGTACCTCATCCTCATCCTTCCTCCCTGCACACCTCACTCAATTCACCCGCGAACAGAACTCCATCACCTCAATTTCTCATCTCAATTACAAAAACGATGCAATAGAGATAATCAAGCAGAAGAAAACCAGTACCAATACCAGTACCAATACGTTACCAGGAACCCAGAACCAAGCTTGGTGAGACAGGAGTACTAGTAGTGCTAGTTATAGCACTATCAGAGACGTTCAAATTCGAATCTGTTTCATCACAACGTGGTATTGTCCAGTGACATCTGACCAAGTTTACGAGACGGGATGGAGGGAGACAGATAGCGGGATGCTTGATGAGCATCATGATGTTATCGTACCTTCTGCGAATGAAGAACCGCAGACTGGAGAGGGAGGGGAGTGGGAAGGTGTGAAATATGGAGTAATGCAATCAAATAGTGCCACTCTACCCCCTTTACAACAAATTTCCTCAGCATGTCGATGTTGGGAAAGGAATGACAACTAGATAGGACACACGTACCAACATGAATCCACGCATAGCTGGTCGCTACAAGACATGGTCTACACCAGTATCGAGGCGCAAAGAAAGAAGGGCGAGCTATTAATTTTATCCTCCACGCCGTGCCAAATTTCAAATCGTTCCAATTATAAGTCGTACTTAGACGCCAAGGTACTGGAAGTTTCATACAAGACAAGTCAACTTGTGCAAGCTATTTGAGCAAGGTAACGCAAAGTCCATCACAAAAGATGACTGTACGGCGAAAACATTCTCACTCTTGCAGGCTTTTCTATGCCTCGTATGCCTAACTCAAAGATGAGTATTAACTTGACTGGAGTGGAAAAAGTGTTGAAAATGATTCAGAAAATCCTGCTCCGGAGTCTCGACTAGGTACTTACGTAAAACGTAAGAAGCCTTCCCGCGTACACGGTCACGTTACCACGCGAAAAAATTTCGACACCAGGTTTGAATAGGGACTGGTGCGGATGGGTCTATCCGCGAAACCGCACCGCGGATAAGCATTTCCACGGATAACTTATCCGCGGATGAAATTCCCACGGATACCGCAGTTTCTGCGTATCCACAAAAAACAGCCGGAAATTTGCGGGACTAACTTAGACAAGTAGAAATCAACTGTTGTTTCTTATGCAATCACTCGTGATACATCACAACTGTGACTAATGTCACACTTAGGTAATTAAAACAACGTGAATTTTTTTATCGGCTAGGCTAAGCACTCAAGTGACTCAACCGCGGATACTGCGGTAACCGTGGGAAAATTCATCCGCGGATAAGCTATCCGCGGATAGGTGGTGCGGATAACGGTGGCGGATGTCGCGCCAGTCCCTACGTTTGAATGAATATTAGAATAAAAAGCCAGGAGTCCGCTTTTGTCTATAAAGTATTTTAGAAAGACAGGATTGCATATGCAAATATCATATGTTACTAGCTACAAAAAAAGTCGCAGCTGAGTCATAGACGTTGCGTGGACGGACAAATTCAAGAAAAGCATACACTGATCCCGACAGTCAAGAAAGACGGTACGGGGGGAAAGGGTCCGGAGGAGGATATGAGAGAGGATATGTCTGGAGAGGCACATAAGGTCATAAGAGAGGATGCAGTTGTTTGAATAGATAGCGATGTGCGAGTTGAAAAGGAGGAGGAGGGAATGGGCATCACGAAAGCCAGCGGAACAAAACAACAGTGCGATTGTCGACAGTTGAAAGACACATTGAGAAAGAGAGAATAAAAGAGAATAAAACTGTAAAAAGAAACGTATAAAAAGCCGAACGCCCTGCACGAACAGCAAAATACTTAACCATAGAACACAGAATTAGTTTTATTTTTCAGCAAGGCTCCGTCACATCGCCTTGCCAGCGGGTACGCCGCGTCCACGACCGCGCCCTCCCCTGAAATTACCGCGGGCTCCCTGCGGCGGCACCCCACCACGTCCACGCGGTGGAGGTCTCTCGCCTCTCTCCTTTTTCGTCTCAACAACAACGCGGTAGCTCTCGCCAGAATCGTGCTTGTAGACGATTCCACCGTCCCCACCCTGGTTGACGTTGAGGCTCGCAGTGATCGCACGCTGCGCGCTCTTGACATCGTCATATTCAACAAACGCGCAAGCGCTGCTACGCACAAACTCAATCTCCTTGATTTTACCATACTTCACAAGCAGTTCTTCCAGATCTTCGTTCCTGATAGGGTCGACGAGTCCCTTGACGAAGACATGCGGGGAGGTAACGCCTAGTGCCTGTTGGTACAGATGATGGCTTGCTCGTCCATTCTTTTGAGTAGAGCCGGGCCGAGCACCGCTGGCGGAAGAAGCCGAAACTGGTGTATTCGTTCCGCTGCGGGAAGGTGGCTGCGGCGCCGGAGCAGCTTCGACGCTCATACCTCGCGACTCCTGGGCGACGGCGGAGCCCCATTTCTTAGAGTTGGCAGCGGCAAGATTAGCCCAAGTCTTTGGCGCAGCGGGTTGAGGAAGCTGGGCAGGCTGTTGAGGAGCTGGCGGCTGCTGTTGGACGGCGGGAGCAGCTGACGGTTGGGGAGCCGGTACAGCAGGAGATGGCGATGGCGATGGTTGAGCTGCAGGCACAGATGCAGGAGCTGACGTTGGCGTTGGTTCACGAACAGGCTCCTGGGGAGCAGGAGGCTCTACAATGGGCTCCGGCTCTTTGGATTCAGCGTCATGGCGCACACCATTCGGCTGAGGTCTAGCGGGCTCTTCGACGACAGCGGTCGGCACTGGCTCAGGCTCGGGCTGGGGCTCGGGCGTTGGCTCTCGTATTGGCTCATGTACAGGAGCGGGCTCTGGAGCGGAAGCTGTGGTGATAACTGGCTCGGGCTCCACATGCATTGAAACGGCAGGAGCTGCTTCAGGCTGCGGTTCTTCTGCTTCCTCTGCCTCCTCATCCTCAACGGATTCTTCCTTGAGGAAACGGAAGATATCATTGAGGACAAAGTAACCATTCGGCTGTTCCGCCAGGAAGAACGTCTGGACAAATTTGCGCCAGGCCTCGCCGCGATTCGACATCTCCCCAATAACTTGAATGATAATTCCGTTATTGGCGGATGCCTGAGCATCAACGCTATGGATGAAGACCTTGCAGTCTTGAAAACCGATCGACAGAATCTTCTGGTGAATTTCCTGTTCCAGCGCGTGATTAGTTTTCTGACATTCAACCACACCGCTCTCCAGAACATACCTGCTGGCCATAACAAGGGCGCCCATCCTCACCCTCAGTTCCATGGATGAACGTCGATTTTTTGGTGTAGAAGCAGTGCAGGCGGTTTGGCTGCTTGTTTACGAAAGTATAGTACTGCGGGACGAATTGCCAGCCGACCTCGGAAGGAACGACATTTTGATGAACAGAGCTGGCCGGGTTGGATGCAGGCGCGGGCGAGGTGGAGTTGGCAGACATTATGCACCTGGAAAAAATTGACGAGGACTGAGTGGTGCATGTGTAAGCACACGCAATGGGACTTACAGAGAAACAAGGAGATCTAGGCGATGAATCGATGCAAGTTTGAAAGAGACAATGCCGCAGCTGATGCTGGAGAGGACGATGACGGGGCGATGAAGCCGGCGAGAACGATGTGGAGGACGAAAAGACGGGAGTCGTAGACGACGGGCGAGGTTACTCAAAGGACGCGCCCCCGCAGATCGCTGGCACACATTTTAAGTCTCCGCCTCAAATTAAAGCACGTGACTTATTATCCATTCTCTGGCCTTCGCGACTGAATTATCATTATTATTTGCTCGATTATTCTGCTTTTGTCGCACTTGGCCTTGTTTGGGCCCCAGATGCACTAAAAGCAGAAAAATATCACACTGACTTCTGTATCAATAGCATCACACCATGTTGGTTTACTGTAAGAATTGCAAGCTAGACGTCCATTCCAGGCCAGTACGCGGCCACTGATGTCTACGAAAAGCGTCACAACTTAAATCTACTACTAACCAGTCCGTCGTATAGATCACCAACCTCGCTTTTGTTCTGTAATATTTGTACAGGTCAGTGTTTAGAGTTTACAGGCTGGAAGAAACGAGAAAATGAGTATCCTTACTTATTCCTTCCAAGAGTTGCCGACCAATGTCAGTCCAGGCGCCCGCGGCAGTCTTATCCGACACTGTGAATATAGTTTCATCACCGTCCTTGACTGTCAATGTCGTCTACTCGTCAGTCACTGGCAGAAATAACAATGAATGATGAGTTGCACTTGCTCACCCTTTATCTCAGTCATCTTCTCGTTCCCGCCAGGTCCCTGAACAGGAGTTTCGCTGAGAGAAAAACTTATGCTCGGATCGGTTTGACTTCCCGATACCAATTCCCTATCTGAGACACATTGTAGATGTAAGTCATAGATATTTCATACAGTACAGACTAGAGGATACATACATGTCATAAGTGCAGCTTGTGCTTCAGCTTTTGAATCTTGTGCGTAGACATCTCTTCTACCCATCCTTTCTAGTCGTTACTTGTTTTCTTTTCCTTAAAAATTAGGTGCGAAATAACTCAGGAGACTATCAACTGTCTTTAATAATGAGAAATCTCTCTTGATCTTGACCTTTTTATACTGAAGATGACTGTTTGCACACTCTTACAGAGCAAACGTGTTACAAGTAAACTATTCCATGCAATTGCACAAAGTGAATGATAGTGTTGATTAAATTGCACACATACAGAAGGTTACGCCACTAGTATTAGTACCAAGACTTTCCAATCTACGTTAGTTTATTGTTGCCACACTAATGGAAATTGATTGTATCATGCATATTGCTAAATTCCCATTTAATCAAACGTTCAATTGTTTCAATTGTGCAAATAGGGAAATTATATCAGCAAATAAGCTAATATCATTATTAACCTAAATTATACTTACATTGTAGGTTCTGTAGTACTTAATCAAGGCTATGTTTTCTTTATTCAACTAGTATTAGTCTACTATTAACATGATGTGTCTTGCCTTAGTATAATCCTAGTTAATAAGGATAATGATTTAGATTAGAGGTACAGTAATAAGTACAAAGTAGTTGACATCTTTAGATAGGCTTGAATTTTAGATACAGACTATAACAATGCTACTAAATATCTCTTCTTCTTTTGTGTACTAATAAAGACCTGGAAAGATGTACTTAATATTAGAGAGAATACTAAAGATTATAGGAATAAGTTTGTACAGCTGTACTGTACTCTTTTCCAGTTATATTCTTAGTTATTATTAGTCTGCTTATACTTACTATTACTAAGACAAATGTATTGTTATGTATTAGGAATGAAGCTGCTTCTTGTAAGAATATACATACAATAAACAAATCAAACAATTATATTCTGAAATATGCTAAACAAGTAAAAGAATGTACTAGTAAATAAATTATATTTTCACAATTTTCTAATATATATAAGAAACACATTTAATATAGACTTAAAAAAAACAGAGTAGTTAAAATAGAGAAAAGCTGTATTACTTAATAATACTTTCTCTAAACAATTAGCTTAGAAAATGATTATTCTAATAAATACTCAAATCTTAGAATGATTCTAAATTATAAGGAAGAAATTAGTTTTGACTCTTGTAACTAACTAATGATTCTCTAACAGAGTTTGTGCTAATAGTTAGAAGGTTACATTTGAATTATAATATTTCAGACTAAAACTTGTGTACAAACTAAGTCTGTCTAAAAGGAAATCAGAACATACTAGAGATTTAAGATAATATAATTTTTATAAGAAAGAGTCTAAAATTAGTAAAATATAGTATATATATTAGTGTTAAGAATACTAAAGCTTTTATAATTGTACATTCTTACAAATAATAAGTAATACATAAAGAAAACTTTCTAGTTTTATAATACTATTAACAAATATATTATATACTAAGTACTTATTTATAGTAAAGAAGTACTTGAAAATATTCTAATATTAGACAGTTTACATAATTAGAATAATAAATTTAACTATTAGAGAATAGTGACTTAATAAAGTTTGACCTGACTAAACTCTAAAAGAGAGCTAGTAGTAAGTGTTAAAGTCTTCCTTGCTAGATAATTTGTGTTCAACTATTTAGAATAATATAATAAGTAAAACAAAGCTTAGAAGATTTGAACATTAGTATACATACTTTATAACATATATTTAATTCAAACTTCTTGTATTGTTAACCAAAATATTCTCTGTTCTTTAATACAACTAGTATATACTAGAGAAAAATTTAGACTTATTTAGAGATATACAAGAAAATAACTAACCTTTGTTTTTTTAGTAATACAATTAATACAGTTAACTCTAAGAGTGTTTTAGAGTTTACTACCAGCAATTTCCTAAAGTAGAGATTGACTCTCTAAATTATTATACATAAATGTGAGTAAAGTAAGTATGTTAAAAAACTCTAAGCTCTTTTAACATAATAAAGAGTAGCATTATTCTACTACTAACAGAGAGACTTTTTATAATACACAAAGCTTTCTATAGTATTGTCCTTACTAGTACAGTTTTGCTAGTAATTAACACAGTTACTAACCTTGTTCTAATGTCTGGTTAAGGTTTTACTACATAGTAATCCTCTCATCCCTGTTCCTTAAGTCAGATCTCTGTGTAAGAAAGAAAGAATGCTACATGACAATTCTTTATAAGGTACACAAAAGTTAAACTCAACAAGTAGTGTGTGTAAGATATACTCACTTTACTAGTCCTAATCCTTAGGAATAGTAACAGAATAGAGTATAGAGGGTAAGACTTGTAGACTTGTATAGTGAGAGGGTAGAGGAGTCCTACTTTAGTCAAACTACAAGTGTAGCCTAGTAGGTTAGTAGTAGAGTACTTTCAAGTACTAGGTAACTTAAGTTGATAAAACTATCTTTTGAGGGCCAAACTGGCCTCCTTATATACCTTTTACTAGAGTAATGTTACTCTAGTAACTTTAGTAACTCTCTTTACTGTTGTTCCTATGAAGTAGAGCTGGCTAATCCTTTAGACTGTATGCTACACTGGTTTGTGTTTTCTATTAATCTGCTAACACTGGTTTGTATCTTCTTGTATCCTAGATTAATCTTCTAATGACTCCTTTACTATATTGTTATGTCTTCTATACTTCCTCTCATACTTCTAATAACTCCTTATAAGTCCTCCTAACTAGTTATACTGTGTAAGCTGTATAATACTTTTCCTATAAAGTAGAGCTCTCTATTGTTCTTATAACTCTGTCTGACTTGACTTGTACTTCCTATACACTAGTTTGTAATACACTTTCTTATAAGGTAGAGTATTATAACTTCTAATGACTCCTTATGACTTCTGTAATATAAAAGGCTGTACTTCTGTACTGTCTCTAGAACTTACAACCAAAGTTCTAGACTGTCTTGTGTACACTCTAGAACTGACAACTAATATTCTAGATCTTTCCCTAAGTCTTCTTTAATAGACTTAGTTTAGGAGACAATTATCCTTATTAACTTCTAGTCTTATCTTTATACTTCTGTATTCAATTATAGAACTTACAACCAAAGTTCTAGATTGTCTCATGTATTCCTCATATTGTCCTCATGTAGTCCTCATGTTTATAACTTTATTACTTTCCCATCTATATGAGTAAAGTGTATAAAGGAGACTACTTTCCTATAGTCTCTTCTCAGAGCTCTCAGTTCCCTTTCCTTCACTAGTACTAGTCCTCCTCAAGTATAGAGCTATAGAGTATTAGCTCTAACTCTTTACTAGCTTTAATAGTCCTTTGTCTTTGTACAAAGTGTTCCTAGCTAGTTATGTAGTAAGTAAGTATAATATTTTCCTTTTATCTCTTCAGGTTTTCTCCTAGTCTTTTCCTTTATACTTCTTACTCTAAACACTATACTCTTTCTAGATCCCCTCTCTATACAAGCATTCTAAATGACTTGTCTTTGGTTGAGATTATTAAGTAATACTGTACTAGAGTATGTGTTTAACCTTAGAGAGATAAAGACCTTGTTCTCAGGTTTTGTTACCTTTTCCTAACTGACTTAGTACCTACTCCTTCCTATCCCCTCTCTCTACTAATAGATTGATCACCTATTAGTAATGATTAGAGGTTAATAATACTGAGCTAGAGTTCTTACTAAGTAGGACAACAAAGGTAGCCTAGTTGATCTGACCAATCTCTAGACTTGTAACTAATAAGGTTTTGTATATAAACTACTCAGTCTCAAGTCTTGAGTTAAGCTTTTCCAAACTTAGTTACTGTATTTTACAATTCCTAACATCCAGTCCCTCCTAAGTAATACTTTCTTGAACAGTATTACTACTATTGTAAAATACTTGCTTTATAATTAATAGGGCTAGGATTTAATTTTGGTTAGGATTTGTGTCCTTCCCCCCTTTCTGTTTCCTTTGTTTTGTGTATCCTATACTAGTATCTGTTTCTTTAGATACTTTTCCTGTTTATAGTCTGCCTCTTTTGTATTCTGTATTAAAGTGAATATAAATGTCTTTTCCTTTCATTTTGGCTAATTTTTATAGTCTACTTTCATGGCTGAAAAGTAAGAGCCACACTTGTAAGTATAGTTTTCCTTTTAACAGTTGTAACTAGTTAACTTATTAAAAGAGCTTCTACCTTTGCCTTAGTTGCTA